TGACTCCTGTCAGCTGTATAGGTCTGTATCTGTAGATTCCACACAGTGTATCCTGTCTGTCCTACTGCTCTAAACCTATAAATCGTACAGTCTTTTAATAGTCTTTGCTGCACCTTTAGTCCAAAATATTTTCTCTATTTCCTGTCTGCTGCAGGGTTACTTGCTTCAGTCTCACACTGTGTGCTGTTGTCTTTCATCAGTCCTCCGCTGTAACGCACGTCTACACAGAGGAATGCATATTTGAGGTTTCTAAAGTACATCAGGGCTACGGATTTTTAAAACACAAGATTCAACATCTATGGTGCCTTTCACACATCAAAAAAATAAAGCAAACTTGTCTGCTCGGAGGCAGTTCGATGTGTTTTGGAATTCTATCCAGTCTGCTTTCCGACCCAGAGAGACAGACCAAAAGACTGTAGCACTGATGCAGATCCCACATCATGTGAAGGTTAACAAAAATGCAATTCTAAGAATGTACTTTTGACACGTTCTACCGCTGGTGGCTGACACAATGCTTTTTCATGTGACTGTAAATTATTTTCATGCACAGTATTTTTTTAGTCATCTGCAAAGTCAATCATTTACCAGTTTGAAGTGGATTTCTGTGGACACTGGGGTTATTTCATCTACAAAGCAACTCCAACCGACTAACGCAGCCTTGTGAGAGTGGTTATAATTGAGTGTCCTTCTCTTACCTGCGCAGTGGAAGCGTATCCAAAGTTAGGAGTCTCTTCTCCCACCTCTGTGATCCCACTCTGTTGTGTGGTCACGGTATCCTCTCTCTGATCCTCTCCTCTTCTGCGTTGTGTGTGTCTCCTTTCTTCCAGCCTCCCTGGAGCGCTGTCCCTGCGTCTACTGGATCCCGCCGGACCCACTCGCTCTCCTCTCACTTCGCAGATCCTCCCTCCTCTCCTCGCCCCCCTGCCCTGCCACCGGTCCCTCCTCCGTGGGTCGGCCTCTCTGTCTCCCCCCCCCCCGTTTCCTGTCTCTCCCGTCTCTGTGAACTGCGTCTGGGCTTTTCTCTCTCTTCCCCTGCCAGTGCTCTGAAGGAAGCAGTGAATTCAGTTGCCCTCCTGTGACACAGACCAGCACCCTTAATGGGCACAGTGAGAGATTTTTATCACATGCAAATACCAGAGACCTGTGGAAAAATCCCACCTGACTTCCACAGTCTTTTATGGCGATGCTAATGTAAATAAAATGTTAGAGCTACTCTAATGGAAAAAAACACAGTAACAGATTGCTGCATGCTGGTTTATACAGTCTGGATCTCCCTTTTTTTAAAAAAAAGACCTAAAATTAGAAAAAAAGAACTGAGCACATAGAAAACACGCACGCACGCACGCACGCACGCACACACACACACCGCTCTGTAAGCATCCAGACAAGAGAGCTCAGCTGTCCACTGCTGCTAAAACACAGAGTAGTGCAGAGGGACCCAGTCTTAACAGACAAGCCAACACATTATCTGCACATCAACACACATGCTGCTGGCTAAAAATTTTGAAAGTGTGCACAAGCTTGGAACATTCACCCAATGGGCGCAATCACAGTAGATCAAGTGGCCATCTAGCCAGCAGCCATATCACCCTGCAACTCTCAACTGATAGTAGGGGTGTAACCCCAGTGTCCTGGCCAAATTTCCCATTGGCCCTTACCAATCATGGCCTCCTAATAATCCCCATCTCTGAACTGGCTTCATCACTCTGCTCTCCTCCCCACTGAGAGCTGGTGTGTGGTGAGCATACTGGTGCACTATGGCTGCTGTCACATCATCCAGGTGGGGCTGCACACTAGTGGTGGTGGCGGGGATCCCCATTACCTGTAAAGTGCTTTGAGTGGAGTGTCCAGAAAAATGCTATATAAGTGTAAGTAATTATTATTATCAAGGGGGCAGCGCAAATCTTTAGTCTGAGCTACAGATGTAGCTAAGGAGAGAGGAAGAGAGGGAGTGAATGTAGGACAATGGAGTCGTGTCTCGCAGTGATGCAACCTCTCTTCTCCAATCTGTTATGTTGACTCCAGGCTATTTTAAAGGTGCAGGCAGGATGGAGACTGTTGATAACTTCTGCATTTATGTAAGTCACTTTCACCAATGGCAAACGAGTGCAAGAACTATTTCTGAAAGAACCCCCAACCCTTCCTCAAACATTAACAGTTCTGCTTTTTCTTGCACAGAAAAAGCTGAGACAGCAAAAGCCTCAAGAAATTCCCAGCCCCAGACAGCAAAAACAGAGATGCCAAATCTGAGATCACAACATCACAGCTAGCACAAAAACATACGGGTGATCCTTTAATAACCTGGTCAGGAGGTCGCAGGCGGGATCCCAAATACAGGATGGGATCCCTACAGACTGGAGATCACAGGCAGGGTCACAGTAAGAGATGAGATCCCAACAGACTGGAGACCACAGCCAGGGTGCCAGTCAGGGATGAGATCCTAACAGACTGGAGATCGCAGACAGGGTCTCTATCAGGGATGAGTTCCTTACAACACTGGAGATCACCAAGACAGGTAATGTGAGAAACATACATATGTTCATAATTTTGTACATAATATTGGACAGAGGACAGGACAAGCCAGACAAGTGTGGCTGCAGACTGTGATGTATGTAAAGGGGGAAACAGATTAAACAAAGACTGCTCAGTTTTCTTGATAGTTTATTAATAAAGAACAATGAAATGGAACAACAAAAACATTTTGAAAAAAGTACAAAACAAAAATGGCAAAAATACACACTGGAGTCTTAGGCAGGGTTCAGTTGTGGTATGATCCAACCCAATCAAGCCCAATCTCAATCTGGTGTCATCTGCGTCCTAGGTGTCCAATTTAGGGGGCTCTTCCTCATCGTCAGGGGGACAGTCCACAAAATCGGCAAGCATTGAGGCCATGGAGTCTTCGGCAGGCTGTGGGGAGATGGGACATTTTCAATGCTGCAACACCTTGCCGGTCTGCGTAACCAGACAATGAGCCATTAACAAAAAAAAAGTGTTGGTAAAAATTTAAATGGCATTGGAATAATTTTTAAATGATAAACGTAACTCTTAAATAACTGTAGTGGTGTACAGGAGGATGACGAGATGCACAAACGGATAGAATTAACTCATACAAAATTTGTCACTAACAAATGGGACAGCCAGCCGGCCAGACTCACCTTTTTCTTTTCAGCACTCTGCTCTGTCAAATCCTCCTCCTCCTCTTCTCGTTTCCTCTTCCCCTGTCTCTCTTCTGCGTGCTCCTCTATGTCTCTTTCTCTTGCACACCCTATTTCTTCTTCCGGCGCCGATGACCTCACTTCCTGTCCAAGTGCCTCCTCTTCCGGTCCAGCCCTTTCCTGTCTCTCACTGACGTCTTCCTGCAGTTTAGCTGCCAGCTCTCCCTGACTCAGCTCCTCCCCCTTCAGCTCCAGGGATGACTTGACTTCCTGCACAGGTTCCAAATCCTGATCCTGGGAGGAGGTGGCCTTCTCTTCAGCCTGGGAGGGCAGTATCTCCTGTGCTGTCCCTAGCTCCTGTGTCAATTCCTGCCCTGGTACCTCCACCCCCTCCACTTTTGGCTGAGCTTCTTTTCCCTGCATCTCCTGTCCCACGGTCCCTTGGGATGGGGAGCTCTCTGCTTTCTCCTGCGGAGGAAAAGCCTCCCTCTCCTCCTCTCTGCCTCCCCCATCTCCATTCACCTCCTCTAGCACCCTTCCTTCACCCTCCAGCCCCTCTCCCTCCTTCATCACCTCAAGGTCCAGAGGCTGCTTGTATGCTTCAACATCTACCCTCTCCCTCTCATCTCCTTCCTCGCCGTCCCGCTCTCTTTCCAGCTCAAAGACCCCTGTAAGTCCCTCTCTTTCCCCTCTTGGGTCCATCATCACTGCCCCCTCCTCACTGGGCAGGACCTCCCCTTCCTCTTCTTCCTCTTCCTCCTCTATCTCCTCTCCCTCCATCACTCCCTCCTCCTCTTCCTCCTCAAACTCCCCTTCCTCCTCAAACTCTTCTTCCTCCCCATAGTACTCTTCTTCTTCCTCCTCCTCAGCAAACTCACTCCCTTCTTCGTCCTCCTCTTCCAGATCCTCCAGGCCTTCCTCCTCTTCCTCCTCCTCATCTTCTAGCTCATCTTCTTCTTCCTCTTCATCTGAGCTGTTGATATTGATGACAGTCAGGTCTTCCTCTCCTTGCTGCTGCTGCTGCTGCTGTTGCTGCTGCTGCAGCCTGGGTGTCTGCACCAGCTGCATTTGCATGGACAGGGATAGAGCAGCTGGCTGCGGTGGCTGCATCAACATCTGCTGCAGCTGCGCAGGTGGAAGAGACTCCCCTAGACTCCCGGCAGGTGCCTGCAGGGCAGGAGGAGTGACAAGACCCGAGACCTGGGTCTGATTTTGACTGGGGAAAGCGTTCATCACGGCCGAGTTAGGTGGCAGGATCTGATGCGCCGGCAGTTCGTTGGCCAGGGGGCTGTGCACCCCAGCTTCTGCCCCTCCTTCTTCTCCCAGTCTTCGGGTCCCCGATCCCACTGCAGCGGGGCCCATGGCACTGCCTGGCACCGTCTGGGTTAGCTCCTGCTTGTTCTGCAGCATGCCCTCGGGTACGATCACCACGCTGTCATCCGAGTCGCTCTCCAAGGAGATCTCCACGTCCTCCGGCTCCTCTTTGTCGTAGCGCACAAAAACAGGCCGGTGGCCTTCGGGGCCCCCCAGGGCTCCGGGGTCACCCAGCTGCGGGGTGGAGAGCAGGTCCCCTGCCGGGGGGGGCAGATGAGGCTGTGGGGCTGGGGGGTGCTGCTGGTGGGTGGCAGACTGGGGCAGGGCGGGAGGCTGTAAGGGCAGATGGTTGTCCAGGGGTCCCCCCAGCAGCCCCTGAGCCAGGCCAATAGGGTGCCGGGCTGTGAAGGAGGCGGGGCCCTGTGCTGGTGTCCCTAGGAGTGAGGGCAGGGAGAGGGCAGCCTGGGGCGCCGATGCAGTAGCAGTGGTCGGGACAGCAGGGGGCGCTGGGGACGATTTTAGCGCGAGTGAGGGCAGTGGGAGGGCAATGGAAGGGGTGCGGGGGTGAAGGAGACTGTTGCACACTGTGAGGGCTTCACTGCAGAATGAGGAGACCTGAGGAACAAGAAGGGAGAGCCAGGTGGCAACTTTACAGAATCCATATTCTTGACAGTCTGGTATTTCCCCACTCTGGTAAAAACTGAGTTTCCCCACTGTTTTGAACTAAGCTTGTTTTGCTAGATATGAAGTTGGAGAGCTCTCGAGTGACAGTACTGGATCAGCTGGTCTAAACGGACAGTCCAGACTTCACGTCCTAGCAGTCCCTTCACACAATAGAATACGTTCAAAACCATCTAGCACCAATTCTCTCTCAGCATGGCCTCCGCTTTCTGTGTTGGTCTCCCCCATCATCCTGAGCTCCACTGAAGGATGACACAAACAGCTTTATTAAAATGTCATTACAGATTTGCATGAGGTACCTGTCCCCAGGGAGCCAACAAAACAATGCTCCTCTGTTCCTGCTTCTCACACTCACAGTGCTTCACTGTAATATCACCGTGCAGGCCGAGCTAAATATATAAGCCTCTGTCCCCTGCCAAGTTCCCGGCCATGGCTTTTCTCTAGTTTTCCTACAAAAGCAGCATATCCAAGGCGCAATCTGCCCGACAGGTCCTCCGCCCTTTCACCCCACTTCACAGGATGAAAGACCACAACCACCGGAGAGCTGGTGTCAGGTCCCGAACTAAACACAGACACTGTATTGTAGATGTACTGCACTGAACTAGTTTGTCTTTCCTATAAACTGGATCCAAGACTGTATAATTGTAATAACATGTTACATGTGACATGACGTAACATATTTGCACTTTCCAGTAAAATGAAAATACCCAAATACAGTAAATTAAACATTTAAAAGACGGAGTATAAATGTAAGTTTCATGACAGGATTTAAAACGAATTAATTTATAATATGAAATACGGGCCGGGAGATTTGGTTCTGCTCTCGGAGCAAGAGAATGGAGATCCTAGCTTCCTGGAGCTGGAAACTGAAACAAGGCCAAGTGAGAGAGTCCAAAGAGCAGAAATGAAATGCTGGCGGTCTCTCTCTATATCTCTGGGCACTGCTTAAGGACACTCCACCAGGACAGCCCAGGATCTTGGTGTTGTAGCTGACGACAACCTCAGATTCCTATAGAAAATCCAGACAATTTGCCCTCACCTGACCACCTGCTCAGCTTAACTTCTTGTCCAAGCACCCGTCAGCTCACATCTGGACTACCACATGAGCTACAAGACCGCTCTAATTTATTTAAAAAACCTCACAGGCCCACCTACTCTCCCAGTTCCCCCCAATATACACACATTTCCACCCTCCTCATCTCTCTTCATTGTCCTTGCATGACTCAGTCCTGCATCAAATTCAGACCCTTGGTTTTGGCCTACAGGGGCCCCAAGTGGACTGCATCAGCGTACTTCCACACCACTGCCAGACCCCGGACCCAGCTGCCCCCTGCACTGTCCCCCCACAGTGGTGGAACAATCTACCTGCCACAGTCCGAACTGAAGACTCGCTCGCCCAACTTCCGGAGGAAACCACAGGCTCATTTCTTCAGGATACATCTAACCCCAGAAACCGGTGACAGACCCCCACTTACCATCTATGCTCTTACAACACTACTTCCCGTCAGTCAAGCAGCACTGAAACTTCTCAGCATTGTGCAACAATGAGAACGTAAGTAAACTCTGCCTGCTGCGGTCTGGGGTTTTATTGTTGTTCTGTGCTGCCGTCATATGCATCTATTATATCTTGATCAGATGCTTTAGATTAAAGTGTCCCCCAAATGAATACATGTAAAGTACTGGAAAGGTAATACGGAGTTAACAGAACACGGATGTGGTTCACATAAACCCCTCACAAAGGGAGGCAGCAGTAATTTGAATTTTCTAAGACCTAAGCAGCTGAGTTCTAAACACGCTGCAGCTTAGGAACAGGATGGAAGCAGTGCCTCAATGTCAGCGTGTGTTTGTGCTATCAGCAAGGAGACAGATGGCTGGGCTGACCGATGTTTATACAGGTGCGGGAACGAGAGGGGCAGACTGAGGGAGGGAGTCGTTCATCAGCCATAGGCTTAAAGAATCCCAAGAGCGTCTTCCACCTGGCTCGGGGCCAGACCTCCCTAAAAGGCTCCCAGGAAGGAATTTCAAGGGGGAGAACGTCGGAGGGGGGGGGGTTGGGGGAATGTGGCATGAGGAAACACCACTCCTCTCTCATTTCACATGGGATCCATAACGGAGCAGCTCCAGGAGCGAGGGCTGTTCACAAAGGAGGCTGGAGCAGTGCAAGGCCAAGGACATCTAGCAGAAGAGAAGACTGGAGCCAAGGGCCCAAAGGCTATTGGACAAGATAGTAGAGGTGCAGTGAAGGATCTTTAACAGAAAACTGAATGAGATCTCCATTCAGCAAGGGAATGGCACCTGCCCAGGGGAGTAGAAGGACAGGTTGCGACAGATAACTCCTTCACGGAGGACCTGCTATTCCAAAGCCATAGAGTCCAGTGCTCAAGGCATTATGGCACTCTTTAGGCTGTGTCCCAGAAGCCGCACAAAGCCCTAAGCCCTTCCTCCACGACCCCTTCACCGCTCAGAAATGGGACTGTCTCAAGCGGGACCAGGCGTATGAAGGGCACGAGCCCACAAGTGTGGACACTCGCGCACGGCCTTAGCTACCACATCCGGGCTGGACACCGATACACTAGGCCCAGAGATTCTGCGTACAGCCCACCCCTATACCAGCGAATCCGTTGCGCACCTGTCTTCGTCTTACGACGTATCGCTGTGCACGCATCCCCACAAAAGCACAAGAGGTCAGAACTTCCCCTCTTTTCACAAAAGACTCCACACTTCTTCCAACAGGCAGCAAAGACGGAGACTCACACTGACACACAGAGTCCCGCCCAAGTGTTCAGACCCATCCAGTGCCACAGCTGGGCATCACTAATTAAACCTGACGTAAGAGATCAGTAACGCAGACAATACCACAGTCACAAACACTGCTGGTCAGGGTAGAAAGGGGAACGATCATACAACAAGAATCTAAACACATCTGCAAGCAGCTGATAAAATATGTCCAACCGACAGAGAAATCTGTTCATGTAAGATGTTTGTTGCCAATTACATCCCTCCCTCCTTCAACACGCCTCATCTACTGGCGATGGACAATGTAATGTCCGTGTGGATTCCTGATCCAGGCGAGTATGTTTTGTGTTCAGCAGTTTTCGTTGCAACGTTCTAACATTGTCTCAGTGATGCCATCGTTACTTCATTATCTCTTTGTTACTGTGCGTACAGTGGAAACCTCACTCTCAACATCTGGGCCTCACCTGGACGCTGGGGTCATTCAGGCCCTGGCTGAAGATTCGGACCGCGCAGTGCAGTGGAGGGGGCCATCGGGGGCTGGGCACCAGGACCAGCGCCAGCACCAGCTGGTACAGTGCCCGGCGGGCCAGCGGACTGGCATACAGGCCCCCCGCCTCTGCCGCGCCCCCACATTGCTGCAGCCTCACGCACAGGGGCAGAGCCAGCTCCTGCAGCCTCTGGCACAGAGACAGCGGAAGAGAGAGGGGACAGTCAGGGCGGCACCCGGGTTCAGCTTGAGCTCCCAAGACTCAAGCCTTCAGGGTGACATGAATTCAAAACCACGTCTCGAAGTTGAACAGTAACATTGGTGAAAACTATTAAGACACGAATGGAAAAACTGTGATAAACTGGTGTCAAGCCCAAGGTGTAATCCCACCTTGTGCCTCTGCGATAGACTGGCATTTCCGCGACACTTAATAGGAATAAGTGACTTTCTGATAACAGTCGACCGGATTAAGATTTAATTCACACATGAACATGTGCCAAAATATATCCCAGGTAGTTTAATTCACAAGAAAGTCACGAGATCAAATCCACTTGGAATCTTTTCGAGTAATGAGAAATATGAAAAGCGTGAAACAACGTCACAGATTAAAATGACTCGACAGTCGGCGAGGTCGGCGCCGTGCCCACCTTGTGCGTGTCCTCCTTCAGCAGGGTGCCACTGGTCAGGACAATCTGCCTCAGAGCTGGAACAACAACAGCATCACGATGACATCATCGACACGCGCCGCACACCTAGCCGTGTGACTCCTGCTCACTCTTGGCGCATGCAGACAGCCCTTCCTCTCCCACTGCAGACGTGTCTCTCTTGGACAGCTCTCGGCTCAAGCGCAGGCAGACGGGAATCTCTCTCACCTCTCAGGGCGGACAGACACGTGTCCTGATTGGCCAGCACGTCGCTCTTCCTCTGGAGTGTGATGCCAGCCCCCACCGCCTCACCCAGGTCGAGCCCCTTCCCCCGCTTCCCCCCAGCCTTCCCAGGATGCCCTGCCAGATCGGCCATTCCCGTCCTCCCTGGGCGCAGCTAATACAGACAGAAAACATTGCTGCCAAAGGTCACCACAGGAAGGCCCCACGCATTCTGAGAACACGACATCTTAAAATAGTGGAGTTGAAGAGCAGAATGAACAAGAAGGCTCAAAGCAACAAAAATAAAATCAGGTTTAGAATAGCAGCAACTTATAATTGTAAGCAAATGGTATAATTTCCATTTGCTCAAACTGTCAATTTAATCCAGGAATGACAAGAATTCCAGCCTGAGCTCATTTAGTCTGTTTTAACAGAACATATTCAACACTGAGTCAGAGCTCAGTGTGACGTCTCATCAGTCATGCGTGCTTTGTGAGAAGCCAGGTAAACGTCTACTTATATATATTACGCTCATAACAGTTAAAATAATTATCACCAATATGCAATGGCTGCTTAAACAGTTATCTAAAAAGATTTGGTGCCCCTATGTGGAGATAGGTGGAAGTTCAGCATACTTCTCTCTTTTTAGACCACTTAAAATAAAATAAAACAGTTTGATGTCTGCAAACCCACGCATGACCTCATCTGTTACACTCACCTTGATAGAGTCCGCCCCCGGAGTGATGTCACCCAGTAGATGGGCTAACAGCAGCTCACTGTGGGTGGGGCTTTGTTGTAGCACACTTGCCGCAGCCCCTCCCACACGCACCCACAGGTCCAGACTGCGGTACAGTGCTACTCGCACGGCGCTGTGGGTATTGAAACAGGGAGATGGGTTGCACCTTTGACAAAGATACTTTGATGTAGCCTGGTGTGGGGTCTTTAAGATGGTTAGAGTGAAAAGCCTGCCGTCTCTCGATCAAACCAAAGAGTTTTACCTCACAATATGTCTAAGAACATGTCTGCTATTGCTCTACAAACATAAGTGTCTGTGTGATCTGAAGCCCGGTTGTCCAGGGCTGGGCCCCAGTGTGACCTGTTTGTTACCTGTAGGCACCCTGTTGTCTAGTGTGTGTGTGTGTGTGTGTGTGTGTGTGTGTGTCTTACCTGTAGGCTCTCTGTTGTCCAGGGCTGGCCTCGGGGAGGGGTGTCCAGGCAGACAGAGTTTGAGAGAAGAGCCGCGTCAAGACACTGGAGTACTGAACCAGCCGACTCCCAGCGCTGAGACAGGTGGAGAGGGGAGGGCGTGTTAATACAGCCACACATCTGTCAGCGGCAAGAATCTGGACTTCATTCCCTAAACACCCTTTAACATGGAATTGCCAATTGTCAATCAAGTCGTCTCGATGACTAGGACGGTCAAGAAGAATGAAAACCATTTTCCACAGATTGGGACTGCAAAGCACCCTAGCCGAATAAAACAAGCGTGTATGACAAAAAATGTAACTGCATGGAGCACTGGTCTGGGCCATTAGTAATATGGCTTTCTCATGAAACATTTCACACAGGCCAGCAAACAGCTGAGTTTCAGTTACTGAGTGAGCTTGTTACCCAGTTTTACTCCTAGCATGACCATGACACATCCCATCACACGCTTGCTCACTCAAGAACTGTCTATACTGAGACGCTTCCACTTTTAGATCTGTGAGAGGTATTGAATGAGAAAGCTGCAACACACTTGTAGCAACAGATCCTTAGCCACAGGTGCGGTGGCACACTGTGGGTAAGGATCTGTGGCTGGAAGGTTGCTGGTTCGTATCCCGCGGCCAGCAGAGGAATCCTACTCCGTTGGGCCCCCGAGCAAGGCCCTTCACCCCAACTGCTCCAGGGGCGCTGTATAAATGGCTGACCCTGGGCTCTGATCCCCAGCTTCTCTCCCTGTCTGTGTGTCTCATGGAGAGCAAGCTGGGGTCTGCGAAAAGACAAATTCCTAATGCAAGAAATTGTGTATGGCTAATAAAGTGATCTTATAAATGCACGGCCTGTCTTACACATGACACAGTTACTCATTTTTGTTCTGCCAGGGCACTGCCATGTGACACCAAATGTCAACGGTCCATCGCACGCGGCTTTCCCAGCAGTGCTGTGTGAATAAAGCACTCTGAATGCGTCTACAGAGAGGGGAGACGAAAAGGAGAAAACGGCCGTCCTGATGTGCTGCCACTCACACTGTGATGAGCGTCGACAGCAGTTCCAGGGTGTCGCGGTGCAGAGAGGGCAGAACCAGGAGTTTCAGACAACCGTCACCAGAGACGCTCTGCAATACACGCACACACAAAGCATGTCAGCATGGCTCTGGCGTTTACCGACACGCATGGTATCACTACAGAATGGCATGATACACGGAAGCTGCACACCAGTGCCGACACCGCCCCGTGAGCTCACAGTGTAAAACACAGCCCCTTGCACATCAGCCAATACTCACAATGCCTTTGGCGGTAACAGCCAGCGCTCTGCAGACCAGGTTGAGAACACTCTGTACAGGTAGGCGGACCGGAGAAGACAGATCTACACTGAAAGAGACAGAGAGAGGGAGTTCAAACACACTCAGCTGCACGCACACTGCAAACACAGCTGTGTGTCTGTGTACAGTGCGTCAGTACCTCAGGGTGTGAGTGAGGTTCAGTCCCAGCTCTGTGTCTGTGTACAGTGCGTCAGTACCTCAGGGTGTGAGCGAGCTTCAGTCCCAGCTCTGTGTCTGTGTACAGTGCGTCAGTACCTCAGGGTGTGAGCGAGGTTCAGTCCCAGCTCTGTGTCTGTGTACAGTGCGTCAGAACCTCAGGGTGTGAGTGAGGTTCAGTCCCAGCTCTGTGTCTGTGTACAGTGCGTCAGTACCTCAGGGTGTGAGTGAGGTTCAGTCCCAGGTGTGTGTCTGTGTACAGTGCGTCAGTACCTCAGGGTGTGAGCGAGGTTCAGTCCCAGCTCTGCGTCTGCGTACAGTGCGTCAGTACCTCAGGGTGTGAGTGAGGTTCAGTCCCAGCTCTGTGTCTGTGTACAGTGCGTCAGTACCTCAGGGTGTGAGTGAGGGCCAGAGTCACAGCTCTGTATCTGTGGCGGAGCTGTAGGACGAGCAGGGGGTCAGTGTCGTCCAATGGGGGTAGCAGCAGCTCAATCCCAGGGCCTTCATACTGTACTCCTCCCTCTGAGGCAGAGGCAGGGGGAGAGAGAGAACACGGCACAGGCAGGCAAAGACATTATTTTAAATCAGAAACTTAAAAGAACTGCAAAACCTGAAATTGAAAGAACAAAACGAGTCTTATGTTTTCTTAAACAGGCTGACAAATAAGCGAAGGAGCGATGCTCAGCGAGCCATCTCAGGTCCGTCAGCTGTGGAGGACTGACCTGCCTCCACCCCCTCATACAGCTGTCCCAGAACACCATGGGCGGTGGCCAGAAGGCAGTGCAGATGCTGCGCCCAGCCTTCCGCCTGACGAGAACCCCGCTCGAAGACGCCACCCAGCGAGGACAGCCGCCCGTAGCACGCACACGCCATCTGAGAGAGGCAGAGAGGAGGTCAGAGTGGACTGAGAGAGAGGGAGACAGACAGGGGCAGGACAAGGCAGCTAAAGACAGGGCGGGAGACACAGGTAGAGAACGGTGGACATAAGTAGATAGGGAAGAAGGGGTAGTGAGCTACAGAAAGACAGGTGAAGGGAGGGAGATGGTACACAGATACAGAGAACATCCGCAGTCTCACCTCCTGTATTTTGGGATTATCAGAGTCCATCTTGGACAGGAAGTAAGCCCCCAGTTTCTCCTGCAGAGAAACAAGAGTGCTCAGTCACCTGTACAGAGGGGACAACAGAACCACAGGCCACTTCGGCGCTGCCTCATCACTGTAAAACACCACAGAGCCCTGTTTCCATGTAATGCCACATTGCTCCAGTCCACGACCACACTGCCTCGTTCCTGTATGGACCTGAGTTTTATCAGGTTTTATTCAGAAAGTTTTCTTGCTGTTCAGCCCTGCTTCTCCACTGAAACATGCTACTCTCTTACCCGGAGAGACCCACAGGCACGAGGGTAGTAGGTCATGCAGGCTGTCATCCCCTCCATCGCCCCTAGGTGGCACTGTGACAAACACAGACAGTGACATTAGTTCGAGTTTAATACGTTATGGCCAAACAACAATTTGCATAGAATGTGGTTCGGTGAGCTCATGCAATTAAAGGCAGAAATGTCCTATGTGTTAGGCCACAAATCCTTTTGATCACAATCCCCAGAGAGAGACTAATAATATTCGTCCATCCCAACTCTGAGCATGGTAGGGATTGTGTACCTGTCCCCCCCTGTGCTGTCAGCCCTGATCAACCCATCTCACCTCCTGCTTGAGGCCCAGCAGAGAAGTGAGGATTCCCGGGATTGAGTTGAGGCCAATTTCCCGGGAGAGCTCTGGGAGCTGGGAAGAATACTGCAGCAGGTCCTGCAGAATGGTGACAGCAAGCTGGACTGAAGGCAGAGGAGCCTGTGACTAAAGGAAGGAGAAGGAGAGATTGTTAATGTACAGTCTACCAGCTGCACAAAAATAATAATAACAATAATATTAATAAAAATAATATTAATTCCTGACACCTATATAATGCTCTTCTGGATGCTCCATTCAAAGTGCTTTACAAGTAATGGAGACTCCCCTAGCCCACCAATTTGCTGCCCCACGTGGATGATGCGCCAGTGCTCTCCCCACACACCAGCTCTCAATGGGGAGGAGAGCAGAGTGATGAAGCCAGTTCAGAGAGGGGGATTATTAGGAGGCCATGATTGGTAAAGGCCAATGGGAAATATGGCCAGGATGCCAGGGTAACACCCCCTACTCTTTTCGAGAAACACCCTGGGGTTTTTAAAGACCTCAGAGAGTCAGGACCTCAGTTTTTTGTCTCATCTGCTGGATGGCGCCTTTTTTACAGTATAGAGTCCCCCTTAACTGTACTGGGGCATTAGGTCCCACATAGACCCCAAAGTGAGCGCCCCGTACTGGCTGCACTAACACCCCTTAGGTCTCCCCTCCAGGTACTGACCAGGCCCACACCTGCTGAGCTCCAGTGGGCTATCAGTTGAGAGTTCTGGCTGCTGGCACATTATCCCAGTCCCAGCTCCAGGAAGAGCCTGGGATGCAGAAAGAGACAGAGCCGCTGTCGAAGGGGGAGGGAGAGCTGGCTTACCTGTATGACCTGCTGGACAGCACGCAGCCAGGAGAGACAGTGCTGCTGGAACACATCGCTGGAGCTGTCCCGTACCAGTACAGACAGCAGGCAAAGGCCCTGGAACCTGAAACACACTGCACTTTAATCCCTCACCACAACCCTACTCGAAAGGTCAGGAGACTGAGCTGCACAGGTTTTAAAGCCTTGTGGAACACCGTGCCAGATCCCATTCTAGCTGTACTTGATGCTCATTATTCAGTGGGGGGCCCTTATAATTTAAACAACTAACTTCACGTTGTCACTTCTGGAAAATCAAAGCTCCGCTGTGGAGCACGGCAACACACAGCAGTTCTACTGAAGAGAGGTGTCACCCCTGGTCTGAAATGACCCATCTAAGCCAGGACAGTTTCAGGAGTTCCCCCTCTGGATACTCCCAGCTGACACTATGCACAACAGTAGGACAATTCCAGGCACTATTATTTCATAGTACGAGCAAACAGCTGGGAAGCAATACACAAGTCGAGCTTACAGCCCCCTTGCTGTTAGAGCAGACGGATGCACACAGCTTCTCCGACACAGGGAGTGGGTCTCGTGCCCTCTGACCTCTGCCACTCACACTGTGATGTCCTCGAGAGACAGGATTCAGGTGGGCTCACCTGGTTTTTGTGGAACTGAGACGCGCATTGCTGAATCCTATCAGATTCCCCACCACTCCGGCACTCTGAGGACAGACAACAACAGACAGACTTCAGTCACCGGGGGGGGTTTCTTCCGCAGGCTGTGCCCTGACACCCCTCTCCATGGTACCACAGCGCCCCAAGAACGGATCAGAACCACTTCTGACACCTACAGGAATACCTCCTCATTTCTGGGCCTGCTGGGACAGCAGGAGCCTGGCTGAAACGCACTCAGGCTCTACAAACCCAGGCAGACTCCTCGGATCAGTGAGAACACAGTGCAGTCAGGTGCTCTCTGTAGCCACGCAGGCTGGGTGGCAAAGCAGTGCTGTCTAACTCTCTCTGTGAAGGAGAAAAGACGCGTCCCCGCGAGTGTGCAGAACAGACTCTGAAACTGAAGTCTGTGTTGTTTTTACACAGACCCTACAAAGAAAACTTAAGATTCTCTTCACCTCGGAGCCAACGGAGATGCTGATTAGCTGCACAAAACTAAAGCTGTATAACAAACAAGTCTCCTCTGGTGGGTTCTGGCCTCTCTAAGCACAGTCCCGGCGTCGGACTTCAGCAGCTAACAGGCGCGGAAGACTGAAGTTGTGATCCCCAGTAACGTGCTTTCGTGACTCACACAAACTCAAAACAAATGGAAAGATACATAAGGAAGCCCTTTGAAACTGATCGCTGCCGATCGGGTCTCTTTAACGTACTCGATAGTCTTTCAGGAAAACATCAGCATCCCCAAAACCTTTTAATTTACGCATCGTTTTATTGATTTTTTTCGATTTCAACACTCATCGACTCAAAGTTTAAAGTTAAAATTTTAAGTTAATGTGATCCTCCTCCTCAAGTCTTACAAAGGGGGCACTGAACATAATTAGAAAGGATGTATAAAGCCGAATTGCACAGAGAGACGGGCGACCAGCTAGGCTGTACCCTGGACTCCAGCGTACCTGTGCGGAGACACCGCCATGCTCCCGGTAGCTCGCCAGCAGCCCTGGAAGGTGGCCGGGTTGCTCCTCCTGTAGCGCAGACAGCAGCCCTTCGGCCAACCGCGCACTAGTCGGTCCATCCACCCAAGCCGAGGCCGCCATCTTTCCCTCACAATGACGTCAACCCCCCTCGACAGCAGCGCTGAAAGCTGGCGCCCTTGTGACGTCACTCGGAGGGTTGACACGTTCGTCGAGACTGACAGTGGTTATGCTATAGTTTTTGATGCTCTTCCTCAGGACGTGGTGAGGCTGTTTAGAGATAGTCTCGGCCTTGCCACTCAGTTTCTTCTGATTTCTCTGATAATTTATTTTTGGATGGAGTAGATATAAAAGATAAAAAAATGCAATAATAATTATATTAGGAATGTAAAAAGTATAATTGTCAGCTTTTATAATTGTGAATTCCTCTGGCTGTGAAGTGTCTATGTCTGGATCTATTTTAATATTCTGCCTCCTTTTTTGCAGCTCTGGTGTTTAAATAACGTTTTTTTTAAAAAAGACACTGAGAGCTGACAAAGACGTCACACCAAGCGACTCCCGAAACCCAAAACGACAGATTTTTTTTTAACAAAACCGATTGGCTTCCAGTACGCTACTCTCCTTAGACACAAGGTGTCACCTTTTGTAAAGCATTTTGTTAGAACTTTACTATTTATATATAAACGTCCCTTTTCCAAATATAAATATAAAAATGAGACGGGATCATTGCCCAGCACTGGGGAGAACCAGTGCTGGGAAACTAGCGCAGCCTGACTGTGTAATAACTGTCTCTAACGATCCGGTCTGTATTCTGAAATCCTTCCCAGTAGTGTGGCACTTTAGCCTCTCCCTCCTCCACCCCAGTGAAAGACAACGCTTTGTTTACAAAGGTATTTTAATTCACAAAACTCGCACATTTTCCAATCCTTACAAAAATAAGTTAACGCGCTTTGTACAAAGCCTTGTATCGGAGGTGTAGAAAGAATACAAAGACAGGCACGACGTCTTCAAATGAGCAAAAAAATAATAATTTAGAAACATAAGAAATTAATACCTACACTTAAATTAAACCACAAGTATTTTCCTTATATCGAGCTCCTTGCTGGGGAATCAAGTTTTGGTTTCCAGCAAAAAAAAAAAGGAAAAAAATCTGAAATTTTATTTGGTTGCATATTTAAAACACAATTGCACACTGTCTAATGTTCTTCACAGCTCTGTGTCCCTCCCAGGTGTCTGGGTAATCGGATTTTACACTCTGTGGGGGTCATAAAGGCCATTAAATTCACAGGGACATTACCTAAAGCTATAGACCATTGGGTAACATGTAAACAAGCAGGGATGATGCCAAACCTGAAACTGTCAAGAAATATATTTTTTTTCCTTTTATTTCAAGAGCGGTTGTGTGTTCTTGAGTGTGCTTGTAACTTTAAAAGCATCAGTCCTTAAAAAAAGTGTTAATTCTGTCACCATGACAACTGCATACTCCGGTCAGAGCTCATGTTCCACACTGGGTGAGGCACAGAGCTCTCTTGAGCTCTCCAGTACTGATTGTCAAGTTAGTACAGTAGAGGGAGGCTATGATACGGATTCCCATACGCTCCCATTGTGGCTCTGTAGAATCTGCAATTTGCTATTCACTAGCCGGTGTTGGAGATGGAATGATGTCAGTTTCAATAACTTAAAAACACTGCATGATGCGCCAAAGAGAAATGGAACAACTGCACCAAAGAACATAAAAACTGGTCATAGTTTTGCCACCATTTTGGCTCCTGCAATTCCCCACCAAATTGTATCTTGGAGCCACAATGGCGGCCAACCCATAACATCCGGTGTGAACCTGCACCACTTTCTATAAAACGTAAAAGAAAGGGAGGTGAGAACGTCATGAAACTGCTTTCCAACATGTGCCAGTCTGGCTCCTTCTGGCTTAACTGGTCGGCGACAGAAGCAGATTTCCCACAATCCAAGGCGAGTCCGCATCAGAACCACAATGGGGTGGGCCTCCGGCCGGGCCCTAGGGGTCGACGAAGGACACCATGATGTAGCGCGTGCCCTGCGTGACGGGCAGCCCCTCGTGGTAGTGAGTCAGCCTGCCGGGGTGCATGAAGGACCAGCCCTTCCTGGGGGTATCGACGCTGCAGTTGTAGCGCAGGAATCGGCAGCCGCCACCCTGCCACACAGAACAACGCGGGTCAAAAACGCCAGAACGTCAGCAGAGCACGGTCAGTATGCGGCAGCCGGGGCAGTCACACCTGGTCTATTAAAGGAACAAGTACAGGTTTATTCCAGGCTGAAAAGAGAAAAGAAACCCCAACGTTTCGGTTGTGGAGCCTCTTCAGGAGAAGAAGCCTCTGACCTCAAGAAGGCTTCACAGCCAAAGCGTCTCGTCTCTTCTCTTTTCAGCATGGAATAAGTCTTCACTCGTTCCTTTGCTGACGCAGCTCCCGACTCGAACGTGTTATCTATTTAATGTGTGCCACGTTGCAGCTGGCGGTGCCCAAAACTGCTCTGTATCCAGCCAGCCTGTCCTTTGCCCGCTTGTCGTACCTGGAAGTCAATGCCCTTGCGGTTGAGGGCAATGTTGATGGTGAAGGTGGAGGAGTCATGGTGAGGTCGCAGGGAGGGCTGCTCGTCTGGCCGGTAGCGCACCACAAAATTCATCACAGCCTGGGCCTGAGACAGAGGGAGAAGAGGGGACAGGGAGGGAGTCGGACTGTGAGAATTCACTTCGGTACGATCTACCGAAGATCGTTCTGTGTTAAGCTGCTGTTGCACTGCAATTTCCCTCGCGGGATCAATAAAGTATCTATCTATCTAGGTTTTGCTTAGGCAGAAGATCTCGGCTTTTCAAGTTCAAATTCCCCTATTCCCCGTGCTTTCGCAGTGCCAGTGGCCCACTCAGTGGCAGGGGGAGACTGGCAGCTTGTACTGGGACTGGTGGATCCTGAAGGGGAGGAAACCGTGCTTCGGTGTGCCCAGTCTCACCTTGGCGTAATAGCCGGGGTACAGCTTCTCCGTGACGGGGCTGATGTACTCCTTCAGGAACTTGAGCCACTCCTTCTCGAACCCGATCTGGTTCATGTGGATGTCGACCGTGGGCACGTTCTCGTAGCCCCCTGCCAACCGCTCATCCTAAAAAGGGAGAGGCGCTCAGATTGACAGAGGTGTAGGATCATGGGTAGGCCAGCAGAGAAGCTTATACAGGCATGTCATACGCTGGCAGAAAACCTCTTAAAACACAAGCAGATAAAGAAGCAGACGGATGGACAGACGGGCGAATATGGCAGCTGGACATAAGCCCACTGCTTCACATCTCTCTAGCTATCTGCTGGCTAGCTGTCCTTACTTTGTGCCTCCCTCCAGACCACACCCCGAAATTCTCCATCTCCTCCACCAGCTCATCACACATCTGGTCGGAAAAGGCTGGGAACCAGTATACGTCCGGACAGGGCTGGGGGAAAAAAGCGATGGACAGAGTGGTCAATTAAACAACTTCATCCCGTCTCTTCTCCCTGTCCACCCCGCAGCCTCCCTAAGCATCCTCTCCCTCTTCAATAATAATCTGTTCCCCAGGTGTCCTGGGTACCTTTAAAGTGGTCCCAGCATGTACCTGGGGCTACACAGGAGGCACAACGGCGCCTTTACTCCCTCAGACAGTTGAAAACATTTGGTCCATCTTCAGCTGTCCTGACCACATTTTCCTGGTGCGCTAATGAGAGTGGCTCACGTGTGGGATTACAGTGGGGTCTGGCAGCTGACCGGAAGGCGTTGGGGGGGTGATCAGGTCAGCCCAGTCCACCATTGGAGTACAGCTCCCCTCTATTTCAGACATTTTTACAACTCGCTGTCTCAGGAAGGCTGGAAGTAGCACTTAGGATACCAGTCATCCTGGTTTCTCACTTTTCTCCCCCCTTCCCTCTGGGAAGCGTTACAGGAGCACGAAGGCACGAACTTCCCGATTCAGAGGCAGTTTCTTCCCGCTAGCTGTCAGATTACTGAACTCTACCCCTACCACCGGCACACACTGATGGGTTTTTATTAAGTTGTATGTTATTTAACTTGTTGCTGCTGCTGCTGCTCTGTGTTTATATTTTTGGTATTTCCTTAATGTCTTTGTATTGGAGCATACGTGCAAATAAGCATTTCACTGCACTTGTGCATATGACAATAAATTGAACTGAAGTGAGCTGGTTTCCCTCTCTCCCTCCTCCGGCACATTTTCCTATCTCCTCACCTGCTCCACGATGTTCTCGTCATCCTCAAAGATTTTGGAATAGTTTTCATGGATATATTTCTCCTTCCAGTCCTAAAGAAAGAAACAGAGCCAATGCATGTGATATTCCAGAGAGTACGCGTCTGTGTATGCATTTTCTTCTTGGACACAATATATCAATATATATTCTCATTTGGTCATAATACTTTTACATTATTTTTTGGGTCTCTTCCTAATTTTGTTTACCATAGTTGACGTTTAATTTGGCAAAAATGCCAATCAGATTGCTAAGGAGAAGCAGTTTAATCTATTCCAGGTTTCGCCAGTAAGAATAACACCCTTCAGTAACACTGAAGCAAAAAAACACAATTATTTTCTCCATTTTCCTGGGGCTTTGCACAACTAACTTTGCACAGCTGCAGTCCCCAGTGTTGCTACACAAGCGCCCCGCAGCTGGAAAAACATGGAATGGATCAGGCAGTTGTGAAGCCAGACTGATCTTGCAGGTGTGGACATGCAAGTGACTTACCACAGGGTTGTCAAAGATCTGCCACATGTCTGGGTGCAGTCGACTGATGTTGTAGTTGTTAGTGGAGATAAGCCTGCCGAACTCGTCCCGGTTGGTCACAAACATGAACACCCCCTGCAAGAGACAGGTGGGGGTAAATAGGCTCAACTCTACCATCAACAGTCTGCCCGGCCCGGAGGTGGGGGTTAACACACTCGCTTTATAATCGGCACCACGCAGAGAGGAGGACAGACGGACCTGCTCGCGGACGTTCCTGCAGAAGACCATGTCGGTGTCCATTCCTTCCTGGGAGTAGACGTTGACCTGGGCCAGCTGATTCTGCAGCACCTCCCCCTTCATCAGGTAGACCTGGGTGATGTAGGGTACGTTCCACACCCCGCTGCGAGGGGGAGAGCGCGAGAGAGGGAGTGGGATGGAGAAGGAAGAAGAGGGACGGGAGGGACTCTTTAACACAAATATCAGTGTTGACTACGAGCTTTGGCTCCCTTTACAGCCTGGCTTGACACGGGATCGAACTCGGGTGATGTGGCAGGACGCTGATGCACAAGGGCGAGGAAGTGTGGAAGGGGATTACTGCACCCTCTCATTGCAACTGCCTTTATAAGCAGAAGAGGGGGTCTCCGACTTCATCCTAACAGGGCTATGCTCCAGGGGTAATGCTAGACCAGTCTGCAAGCAGTCGGTACAGTACCCTGTTATCGTAGGGAAATTTGAAGCATTGCAGTCAAGGGGTAGTCTATTTGTTCCAGCTCTTTAGTTTACTAACTCAAGTTCAAGTTCAAGTTTAGACCTTTGATCCCAGAACCTAACCCACCTGTCAATTGAAGGAGTGTTAGAATCAAATTACGTGGCTTGGCAATGTGTTCCCGACACCCCCGCCATCTCAAATGAGCGCCCCCTGTAAATACAGTGTTCCTTTCCTGGTCCCAGACGAACCTGCCTACCGACTCCCTAAACCCCAGGCCCATCGCAGAGAATGCAACTCTCCCAGCACCAGCTCTTCAGGGTAAATTCCTAACATTACACTTTCCTGCCTTGCAAGTCCAGTCATGCAAATGTCCAGACTTTATCAGATGAGCCTGCATCTGCAAAGAAGATTAAGATTAAACAAGTTGACCAGGGCTTCTTTGAAAATCCTGGGTCCAAGCGAGTTAGCGCGATCAAGGAAATAAGGAGCACCGTGGCCAATTAAGACTGAAGTGTGATAAGAGCAGGTCCCTCACGTTATCTAGCGATCAGAGGGGGAGGCTTGGATGGTGGGAGTTTTGTAATGCCCTTTCCCCTCCCAGACTCACACGCGCTTGCCCTGGACAATGTCGATATAGTCCTCTGACCGGGCGTAGAACCCCTCGGGACTCAGGGCTCCCCAGAAATTTGACCAGAGCTTCCCATGACGCGAGAGCATGGGTGCGATCACCGGCCTGCAAGAGAAAGAGAGAGCAGGCGGCACACTGTCAGAAAGAGAGATCCAGACAGCAAAAGAAGTGTTGAGAAAGGCAGTCCCTCACTTGTTCTCCTCGATCAGGATGCGCAGGGTGTCCGGGTTGATCAGCGCCACATCGGAGTCGATACTGAAGTAATAATCACATGAGGGGTCCTGTCGACACTCGTCCCTGAAAGTCGAAAGAAAGGCAGAGAGAGTGTGAGTCGGTGGGCATGGATATGCATAATGGTCAACTTTGTGATCAGGAAACAAGGTCCCAATAAAAACCGGCAATTCCAGACAGAGCTGGAGATGGCCTTTTATTCATAGCCCAAATCGCTCCTTCTTTTAAAAGGGACAGTAAAGACAGAACAGGAAGTCTTCGCCATGACGGAAAGACCGTGCACGCGTTTGGGGACTCACTGTGCCATGCCTCGGGCCTTGCTCTGATGCAGATTCTCCTCCGGCCCCACCAGCCGCAGATCTGGGAACCGATCCTTGTGCCTCTGCCAGAACTGCTGGATGTGCTGCTCGTGGTACACCTCCTGAGAGAGGGGGAGAAGCAGGGAGCATCATGTGCACACTTCTACAGCTCGCAGGCAATGCGGGGATACGTAGCTGTGTGGTTCCACGGTGCTGTGTGGGCGTGTACTGACGTTGTTGTGGATGAAGAGCCGCAGCTTCTCGGTGGGGTAGTTCATGGTGGTCAGCCTCTCCAGGAATTCTGGGAGGAAGGGGGTGGGCTGCTCAATGAATACTCCAATCAGCACCGTGGGCAGCTCCTCGTCCTCCAAAGAGAAAGCACAAATGGTCACAATTTGGACACTACACATCACAAAATACAGTATAATGTTATGTCTGTGCACAGTTTCCCTCATGGAAAATCTGAAATGGTTAACACTTATGCAAAGCCATGTATGTAAGCCCACAACACAACAGACAAACTCAGCAGTGAGGCATCTTCTAGAGTCAGGCCTTGTGGGCCGAACAGCTAAGCTCACATAGATGGCTGATTTTTATATCACACATTACGGAGCGCCTGCAGGAAATGGGGACAGACTCACCGTCAGATCGCCGAGGTCCAGCAAGTCATCGTCACAGATCCCACAGCCCGCCTCGTGAGTCCAGGCTGTCGGCACGTAGTTCCCCAGGTAATTCAGCTGGAGCTGCAGACAGACCGACGCAGAGCTAAGACTTAAAACTTTAAAACTTCCGCGTGCAACACTGCCAGACTAATTACACTCCCTACTCCTGAGCTACTCCTGAGCACATTACACTCCCTACTCCTGAGCTACTCCTGAGCACATCTGGGTCTTCACGACTGATCACGTCTGTCTTGATCATTTTAAGAAAGTGACAGCATAAAAGAGCTGGCCTGGGCTGTGAATCGGGGCTGGCCTCCACCTCGGTACACTGACTCAGCACGCCATGTTCAGTAACCCAATCTAAAGCTATGTCCTCCAGGCTCCGACTCCGGGCCGTGCTTACCTTGGTCGGCCCATTCCCATGGATGACCACGGGAAGAGTGTCGTAGGCCACATTCCGGGCTCGGACGCGCCCCTTCTCAAACTTCAGGACCACTTCCTCTGTAAGGGCGGAGACCGAGACGCAGTCACAGTGTTACTGAGGAAGAGGGACATAACAAGGAGAAAGAGCAGAGCAGACGGGAGAAGGGAGGACAGTGTCTCACCTATGGCACCGTTCAGGTTCTGGAAGATCCGCGACCGGTGATCCAACGTCATGTTGTACTTCTCCTGCAAGAACAGCACCGCAGTGACTGCCAACTCCTCCACAGCGCGCACACACACACTCATGTCCGTCAAACCCTCGTGACTGGGCATGGTCTGACACCGGGAAGAAAGAGCTTTCCGAGAACAGAATCGGACAAAAGCCGACGACTAGGCCTCCTTCAAAGCTTGTCTGCAAAAGCAACAATAGTCTACCATGAATGCTGCAGACCTTCCATCTGCCTGCTGCAGAAGGATCAGGAGCCCAAGCACAGGCGGAGGTCAGCCCAATTATAGCCCACAACAATCCCCAGTGAATAAAGGACGCTCTGTTTGTTACAGTTCGTGCCGATTCTGTTGAGAGGTGGTCCTGGGCTGTGTACTGATGCTGCGTCAGATGTGTGCTGTGCAAACTCCAAACTCACTGCACCATCCTGACTTGGTGCTGTGTGCCCCCACTATCCTCAACTGACCCGCTGCGCCTTGTCCAGGTAGATCCTGGTGTAGAAGAGCTGGTCGTCATCATTGTCTTTGTATTTCCACTGCTGGATAATGCCGTTGAGCTGCGGGGCGTAGCCAATGAAGCCTGGGACAGAAAGGGAGACACGCATACGGACATAAGAAACATAACACTTTGTTCAGAGCTATTCTGCATCAGCAGGCTCAAGCTGACTGCTTTTCTCCACTGGACAATGCACTCACTCACCGGTTAATTGCGCGAGATATTTTTCCAGCTCCCGATTATAAAATGACCTTTTGTAGAGTTCAGAATCGACAATTTTGTCCCGTTTAAAAATTCCCTTCCGCCTCCCACAAAAATTGTGCACAATCCTGGACCATTTTACTATACTACAACAGACTGTTGCGGCACATAGTTCTACACTCGCCTGTACTATATTGTCTCACACTGCACTCGTCTGTTCTGTGCCACCTGCTCCACCCGGCACCAGAACACATATTCCGGCCCGGCACGGTCTCTTACCCCCAGAGTTCAGGTAGCGCTTGCCAGTGTAGACAGGAGGGTATTTGGAAGCCAGTTTCTGATCGGGCCAGCAGAAGCCTTCAGCAGAGAACACCACCTTGTGATTCATTCTGCTGAACTTCCACAGCAGCTCCTGGGGCCCGCTGGCGAAGATCACGTCATAGCTGCAGGAGAGAGAGAGAGAAGAGTCAGGGCCGCCCTCCTCTCTCCTCGCTGGGGCACGCCGAGGCTCATGGGTACTCTGGAACTTCCCCTGGAACTTAGGGGATCTTCCCACGCTGGGGTGCCTGTGCACACTGGGGCCCTGCGGACACTGGATGAAGTGCCTGGACTCTGGCCAGCCTGGCTGGTGATGCGTGGGTGGCCAGCAGAATTGACCGTCTCCCTGCAGGAGGGAGACAGCAGCGCTATCGGTTGTCGGACTGTCGTGCCCGAGTGGGCGCATGTGATCTGTCCTGCACGCACACGCGGGACAGCACACCTCCCAGCGCTGTGAGAACACGCTCAAGCAGGCAGACTTCCACAGCAGGCAACTAATCGATCCTTTATTTCATTATTAGTTCCGTTTTCCTTTCCAACTTCCCTTACCCTTCACTCAGGGCCCTGTCGTTAGCTGAGCTGCTGTGCGTTAGCTACCCCATAGTTTCTGTCCCAGATTGTTGGCTTCCTTGTTTCAGTGCTTTCCCTGTTCCTTGCCAGAAGCGCACTGCAGGCTTTATTTTTCATCTCTTTCTTTTCCCCTTTGTCTTTGACGTGGCGTTTCCCACCTCAGCGCTGCCTGGGACCTGCTCGTGAGCTCTCGGCCACACCTCGGCGCCTCATTACACTGACAAAACGCCTTTTCACCCGAAGTGGGGCAGCTGTTGTCTGGGCAGGTAGGACCGGTGTCAGGTTCGGTTACCAGAGCCGCAGACGGGAACAGAGAAAGAGGAGAACGAGCATGTGGACAGGGAGGGGAAGAAACTGGACATTCCAGGAGAAAGAGAGACAGAGAGAGACACATTCGGCATGGCCTGACCTGTCCACAAACATGACGACCAGCTCCGGTCTGTCGGCGTATTTCTGGATCTCCTTCTTCAGCCAGCGTACCTTCTGTCCCCCCCCGACCGTCCGCAACACGTCTCCCCCCCGCCACTCCTCCCCCAGCCCCAGCACCTGCACGCGGAAGAGAGACAGAGCAGAGGGGGAAGGTTAACCACCAAGAGCAGGACGGCGAGACACGAGCTAGAACCGATCACAGTCCCAGACCCCATCCCTAGAGAGGCAGACCACCCCGTCTGAACGCAACACTGGCTTTCCCTCCCGTCTGCGTCGGCTTAGGGCGCCGACACCCGTTCAGTCCATCGCCCCTTGACCCAGCCTGGGGAACAAACTGCCCTCCACCCCTCTACCCCCGTCTTCAAGGGACGGGCTGGGCAGCGCAGGGCCTCACCTTGACGGTGTAGTTAAACTGCCTGCTCGTCCGCATGAAGCGCTTGAACCCGTCCGTCTCCTGGGTGGCCGCTGTGATCACCAGCAGGTTCTCTAGGGGACACAGCAGACAGGATACAGATCACAGTGCAGCCGATGTTAAGCATGTGGTACGATGCACTTATACACTGGATCTAATGTACATACTGTTATAGTATACAAATCACATAATACACGGCATCCAAAAGGCCTACAGCCAGACCTACCAGCACCCTCCATGTACAATGAGGTGATTGAACCAGAACACCACAGGCTGACTGAATGCTCAATCTCCTTCTCCGGCTCTCAGGAAGGACGTCCCCCTCCCTGCGAGTCAACACTCCCAGCCCCACCCCCTGTGGGCATGGGGGGATGGCAGGCAAGACTGAGCAAGACCAACCCAAACTCGCCACTGTACCAGAGTCCAGGTGCCGAGATCTCAGGTAGGAGCCACACGGATTTACCCAAACCGGTCAGCGTACGCAATTCTGACATCCTCACGTGCTGTTCCCCACAGTTTGCACGAAGATTCACCACAAATGTCCCCCGAGCTCCGGCTCCGCGGCTCCAGAACCGGGCCAGGGAAACGGCACGGACAAAACCCGGCGGTCAGGCTCGGACTCATTTTCATTGTGCAAATCCAGGCCCCACCATCGCACCGATCGAGCAAGGACAGGCCCCCGGTTGAGAAGGTTTCAGAGTGACGAAAGTTTAATATTTTGTTAGAATGTGTACTTATCGTGAGAAGTTCTGGGTGAAATCAACTTTATTCCGATAGGAAAAAACTTTAAGAATGTGGGGTGTCAGCCAGGTTAAGGCTGTATATTGGAGTATAAAACTTGCTACACTGTCTCCAACTCCATCTACCTTTCAGTGGGTATTATTTTGGTAAAAAGCACTTTATCGGTCCTCACAATGGGTCAAATTCTTTTTCATTTACAGATGAAAGAGGCCAGCAGCCCCAGGGAGAGAGCCCTTATTTCTGCTTTTTAAATTTTTCCTCCCCACAGTAACGGTCAGAAAGCGGGAACCACGGTCCATATCGCTCAGTTCTCATGGGAAAACCCGGAGATGAACCCAGCTGGGGGCTGGGGAGAGCGCCTTTGTAAGGGAGAGATCTTAGAAATCCCGATTCTGATTTTTGGTTCTAAACCACTGCGGCTGTGTGCGTTGTCTGCTTGGTCTCGGTCAAAGGATTTAAAAAAAAAATCTTAAAAGTGTCATCTCTCTCATACGCGACTGTGTCCCCGCGCTGCGAGCCCGCGGGTGGGTGGGGGAGCCGTGGGGTCGCACCAGTGAATCAATCGCCGCTTTGTACTGCACCCTTAGGCTGACACCGCAGTGCTTTTCACTCCCTCCGGCGAGCCGACCTGTTAATGAAACCGCTCACGACATTTGCCTGCGCCCCTGCGTTGATGTGTCGAATCCGCCGTTAAGACGTTTTCAAAATTTCTCCAACCCGTCTGGGAAAACAGCCGATCGATTCGATGTCCGTCTTCACTGCTGCGTAGGAACTTGGGGTCATAGGTTTTAGTGCTCCCCTCCACCCAGTTTCCCCAAACAGTTCACTGCTTGTATAAAGCTGTTTGTTTTTCTTTTCAGAGACCAATTACTTTCCAGTGATTGGATAGGAAGAAGATAGCGCTGTGCGGTCGGATCAATCAATTAATCAATCAGTCTTATTGGAGGAATTAGCCGTTTGTTAATGGCACTGAGCTTCTCGGGACCAAGAATCCAGACAGCCCGAGATCCGACCTTATTTTCTCAGATATTGAGAACTCTGGGCGAAAAGCGTACCATGGTGAAATACAACCGAAGTTAACAGCCTTAGCAATACGTACATTTCACAAAAAGAGTCATCTCTTTACCAGAGAATCACCTTTTCTAGCTAGCTTACTGTAAAACGCAGACAGTGCAGTCATACAAGGCGTGAAATAACACAGCTGTAGTGGCCTTGTGTTTTAAAGTTTACACGGCATTAGCGGAGCGGACTGAGATGCCAGTATGCGGGTGCAATTTATAGCGTACTCTTGTGACGGTGCGCTAAACTGTTCATTCCGAGATCACGCTGCTACCTGGAGGGATCGCCTGCGTGTCCGCCGACGCGACATGGTCCGAGATCCCGAGGCAGATCGCACAGATGAGGAAAGCAGAAGTCAGCTCCATTGCGCTGTCAGTCCCTTGCCTTCCCTAATTTTGTCTCGTCTTCCCTAACCCTGTTCTCTCTGGCTCCAGCACACGTCCCCCACTCACTCTCCCTTTAACCCGACGCCCGCAAAGTCTCGCGAAAACTGGCCCGAGCCTAAAAAATGCACCTAAATCCCGACACACGAGACCCGCTCCGGCCCCCTCGGACGAGCCAGCCAATGAGCTGCGCCCGGCCGGTGATTGATGTGCCCGCCACCCAGTCGTAAGAGAGGACCGGAGGAGGGGGGGCGGGGCGACAAGGGGGGGTAGGACAAACTTTCCTTTTATAAAATATGTTTCGGCTGCCTGAATGGAAAGTTCTTGAATAGCGGAGGAGGGTGTCCGAGTTACCTCCCCCGTGCGAGGAAGGGAGTCGGAAGATGAGTGTTGCCACGTCTCAGGAATTGGAACTGGAACTGGGGGGCTAGATTTGGTGGGGAGGGGGGTCCGGGTCCCAGGTCTATTGACGGGATATGCAGAACGACTTCTTCGGACTTGTAATTCACTTTCAATGGGAAACGCCGCAGTTCCCGTTAAGCGTCCGCAGTGATAGTGCTCATTATCTTCATTATCTGCCCCGGTTTTTAATGACCCGTATTTCCACGCTGCCCAGTATTCCTGAATTAGCCCCTGGATTGAAAAGCCTGCCTCTCAGTGTGGAGACACCGTGTAACTGACTTGTTGATTTGGAAAGACGGGACCCATCACTGTTACCGGGTGTCCACGTTGTCCTCTAGTTCGTGTGTATATCACGGCCCACGTCACGGATATAGTATTTTTCTGTTGTCCAGTTCTTTTTTGTATTGGCACAACGGCACGCGCTTCTACTGCGATCTGTTATACCTGCTTTTGCTTACACTGTCCTGTATACGATTGCATTGCTCTCGTATCAGTAGCTAATGTAAAATGTAATTAATAATAAAGTAATAATGCGAACAATAAGAAGTATAGCAATAACAACACTAAATATCACGTTACATTAAAGGCACGTTAGAATACCAGATGGGATCCGGAACCGAAATGACGGATCAATTCAACAGAAAAAGCCCCGCTTCTCCAAGCCTGTTTTATCGCTTTTGAATATCGTGATTATTAAGAAGATGAAGTTTATTTTCGTGCGGTGCTCCAGGCTGGCCCAGGCGGCTCGCGCGCCCGCTCTGCTGACCTTTAAATGACCTAACTGGAGCCTTGATTGAAGCGACAACTTGCTTGATTGCAGGTTGTTAGTTGTTGTTGTTGTTGTTGTTGTTGTTGTTGTTGTTGTCCTAGAAACCCCGGGGTTTCGTATTTTGACCTGCGAAACACCATAGACGATAAAAGGCAAGTTTCAAGGCGGATGAAGCGCCGAAGACAGTCGGACGGTTCAGATGCATCCTGTAACTGGGCCAGTGAAGGGTTCAGCCGGGCGACTCAGAGCCGGCCGGGAACTCAAACCAGACGTGCGGGCCTCCGGCACAGCGATAAGGACCCCTGTCCCCAGGGAGGGTCCTTCTCTTGTGATGGTCTGTTGCTCCTAGGAGCATAAGAAACACTGCAGATGAGAGGAAGGGGTGGCCAGTCTACAGGAGCTTGTTGATTGATCCAAGGATCTGCTCCTTCTGCCCTCTCATGAGAGAAGACAGGGTTTCGGTTCGGACCGTGTCTGATCCACTTGTTCCTCAAACGTATGAGTACAGAAAAGCCTCCTGTTTGTTTGTTTTTATCAGTTTTCACTGCACTTCGTGTGGATGTTCCCCACTAAACCGCGAGCGTGTGCGCGCGTACACAGGTTATGAAATCAGCGCACATAGGAAATTGAACTGCGCACCAAAAATTAATTAATTAAAATTATAATAATAAAACAAACACGGTCGTCAATTGAAAAATGCGAAATTGACCACATGAGACTGGCTGCGAGAGGCTCAACTTGGCTGTGTGCGTTATTATTATTATTACTACTCGATAATCGGTATCTCTGCTCTCGTAGTCTCGAACCTCACTGCTCATGCTCGCTCGACACCCGGTCTCTATGACCGGGCTCGTGGAATCGCCGTCCCAGTCTTTTGGATCTCTATGCTTATATGTGGATGACTATATTAACAAAAAATAATTTCAGGTTTACAGTTTTACATAAGCTCAGTTTAGTGCGCACAAGGTTTTGTCACTGGTGAAAAAATGTGCACAGCTTGAAATGTTTGCGCACACCGGCCGTAAAAAATGAGTAGGAACGTCGTTCGTCTTTCTCTGTTGCTTCTGCCAGCGGAGGGCTGGAGAACGATTACGTGGATGAAATGCAGAGAACACTCACATGTGAAAGGTCAGTAATTGTGGCTGTTCCCAGGAATCCCAACTTCCTCCCAGCTGGGAGGTGGGTGGGAAGCCGGGATGATTTATGGTTAACTCCTTCAGCCCCACCGTTAGGAGAGCAGAGCTCACACAGGGAGCACAGCACCTAGAGGAGGGGTGGGAATAAAGACCCACTGACCCCGGGTTTGTCAGCTCCAGTCCTGCCTGGGCAAAGCCACTTCATGGAGTCTGGAGCCAAAGTATGTAAGATCAGATCACTTTATCGGCCCTATACAATTTCTTGCATTAGGAATTTGTCTTTTCACAGACCCCAGCTTGCTCTCCATGAGACACACAGACAGGGAGAGAGCTGTCTCTCTCTGGGCGTCAGAGAGAGAGCTGGGCGTCAGAGCGCTGGGTCAGCCATTTATACGGGGCCCCTGGAGCAGTTGGGGTGAAGGGCCTCGCCCAGGGGCCCAGCAGAGTAGGATTCCTCTGCCGGCCGCAGGATTTGAACCGGCAACCTTCCAGCCACAGGCACAGATCCTGAGCCACAGTCCAACCGCTCCGCCCCATGACCAGTCATGTCAGATGACAACAGCCAAGTTCAATCAGCCTCGTCAGTCAGTAATTTGTCATCATTCCTGATGTCATTTCCTCACCTTAAAACAATAAGCACTATGGGTCAGCCCCTTCTCTCCCTTGCACACGTCCTTTGCACCCCTCCTCCAGCTCTGCAGCTGCCCCTTGGTCACCCCTCAGTACACATGGGGGTCCCAGCCTCCTCGTCCTGCGGCCAGGACGTTGGCCCTCAGCCCTTAAGCCAAACCCACTGAGAGTAAAACACTCTGTAAATTTGTCACCACATTTAGTTCTGGGGTGTTGCTATTCCTAGTGCACATGGGATTGTGATTCAATTTTTTGTGCGCTCGCCCAAAAATCAGGAACCCCCCCAAACAAACATGGAGGGGCTTCTCTGAGCTGTACATGTACTGTATATCACAAGGCTGGGAATTACAGTATGTGCTACCCAGTCCCGCCCTATTGATTAATAATAATAATAATAATAATAATAATTCCTGACACTTATACAGCGCTCTTCTGGACACTCCACTCGGAGCACTTTACAGGTAATGGGGATCCCCTCCACCACCAGTGTGCAGCCCCACCTGAATGATGCAACAGTTGCCATAGTGCGCCAGAACGCTCACCACACACCGGCTCTCAGTGGGGAGGAGAGCAGAGTGATGAAGCCAGTTCAGAGATGGGGATTATTAGGAGGCCATCATTGGAAAAGGCCAGGGGGAAATTTGGCCAGGACACCGGGGTTACACCTCTTCTCTTTTCAAGAAACGCCCTGGGATTTTTAATGACCACAGAGAGTGAGGACCTTGGTTTTATTACTCATCCGAAGGACAACACCTATTTACAGTATAGTGTTCCCATCACTAGACTGGGGCATTAGGACCCACACAGACTACAGGGTGAGCGCCCCCAACTGTCCCCACTAACACCTCTCCCAGCAGCACCCTCAGCTTTCCCAGGAGGTCTCCCATCCAGGTACTGACCAGGCCCACACCTGCTGAGCTCCAGTGGGCTGCCAGCTGTGAACGGTGATATAGTTGTATAGATTAAGCAGGATTGCCTTTAGTGAATTTTTGTCATGAAAGCGAGCATGATCTTTGATTGAACTGCACGTTCTACTAGTTCTATTTTTACCATGTCTTTTTATAGGATTGAGATCTGGGGATTTCTCTGGCCAGGGTGACTGCATCCTTCTTCTCCAGCAAACCTTACAGTGCCTGCCTCTGTGAGAGCTTATCCCTCGGACTCTTCCGAAATGAACTTCTGAGGAAGGAAACTGAGCACCAGACACAGATGGTGTAAATGTCTCCTGTATATTTTTCCAATGTGGATATGTAGGGAGGCAGAAAAGCACAGCGTAGTTCAGTATGATTTTAAAACACGTTTTTTATGAACAGCCATCTGGTGAGCAAGCAGAGAGACACTGTGTTCTCTCATTACTCAGCATAAAATGCACAAGTGCATAGAGTGCATTTTATAAGCCATAAATGTTGCAAGTTGGATAAGGATACAACATACTGTAAATTTACACACAGAATGTAAAAGGGTAAACATGGTACAATTATAAACACCAGCACAGAATTGAAATTCTTCTTTCCAGTTCTTGGACAGTGTTGCATACTCTTTTAGTCAGGTAAACAAAGATTCCTTAGACAGGCAGCTCTTTCTTTAACATGAAGAAAGCTAGGTACATCCCAAAACCTACGAAGACATACAGAACGAACCCTACAAACAGCTGTCACACCTGACTGTCTCTCATCTGGGTTCATTGTCAGACATTAATGTTCTTGTGGCTGGCAAGTCTGCTTCTGCCCTTATGAAGTAGGCAGCATTCCAAGACATGAAGACACAGAAGCTGGTTGCAACTCCACTGAAGCTCTTTCAGAGCTCATCCCCAGAAAACAAGACCAAACACACAAAACCTGCATACAGCTGGCCCGCTTTGGGATCCAGATTGAATGAATATATGAGCTCCTGATCCACTACTGCCACAAGACTGGATAACATGGGGAAGAGCAGATTAAAGCCTGTGAGAGGAGTAAAGAGCTTTTCCTTAATTAAACTTGGGGGGTGGCTCCCAAAAATGCATTTCGCCTGTGTGCTTTTGCAGTTGAACCCTGGTCCTGTTTGCTCTGCGGTCTGTGTACACAGGTGGAATATTTGCTGCTCAAAGTACATCATGCTGCATGTCCCTGCTGCAGCCAATCTGGCACGGACTGGAAACCCACAGCCCTGCTGAAGCCAGGCTTCTGACCACAGTAAAACTGCTGTGCTTGCCTCCTGGCAGGAGACCGTGCCTTGGCCCGGGACAGGACAGGACAGGTGGGTGAAGCACAGATCTGTCTCTAGAGTTGTCCCACCGAACTCCAAACCCGCAGGGGATCTTCTTGCAGAAGAGCAAAGCAGGACCTGCCCCTGGGACTTTTCTTTACTAACTTAATTGCCCGGGTGGCACAGAGCTCTGCTCATCAAACCTCAAAAGGTCTTCTGTGTTTCAGATTTTCCTCGAGACCTCAGATTCAGACGTTATTGGATGTGGGGGGCAGAGCTGCTGATAGCTCGAGAAGAACCGCTTGTCCCTGTTTGACTCTTTTCTCAGGCGCGGAGAAGCTCTGAACAGGTGCCAGACGCCCGCTGGGTGTGCCCCTCTGGCCGGGCGTGTTGAATCTTCACGGTAAGATCGCTCTGGAGTCGCCAGTTTCAGCTGGACACTGGGCACATGTGACGGCACATTGCCCTGCTCTCAGCGGATGGTGCAGTGCTGAGAGTGAGGATTTCAGCTTATCCAGAGTGATCCCTGGATAAGGCACCTTCTTCGTACTTCGAAGGCTTTACTTGTGATTAATGAATACTTGTACTCTGGTGAGGCCGCTGAATAAATTAGTAAGGTTAGTACTGTTGTGTCATACAAATGAAGGAGTCCAGGTGTCTGTGTCGGAGAAGTCTCTTTATTACATATGCATATGGGAGACTGGCTTTTAGGAACTGGACTCGAAAATAAGTAACTAAAGATGGTCTTTTATACCCAAGAACAAACAACCTAAAGTGACACTGCCCCTTATAGTTAGTAATAGAGAAGTATGTCTATATATGGATATACGTCACATAAGTTCATGTGAAGATTAGTGAAGAAAACTGTTTAGCGCACCACCCATATAACTTTGTCTCCGTGAGCTTACCTAGTAATACATGACAAACTGCTCAAATGTACAAATAAGCAGAATTTCCCTGGATACATTTATAATGAACATGCAGAATAAGCATCTTACTGTATAAATTAGATCATATCTTTTGGCTTATTGACAGGCACAGGTTCCTCTTTATGTTCTGGGCATAAAACCAATGTTAGAACACACAAGTCTTGTACATATTTTGTTCCTGCAGTACTTTAACAGGGTCTACGGTGAGTCTCACTTGAGCTCACCCAAAGCAGACTGCTCTTTGAAGAGCTGCTGTCCTCTCTAGGTGTTTTCCAGGGAACGGATCTGGAGCTGAGCCTCCATGGCTGACGAATATCAGGACGACTTCCAGGCTGTGGACACCCAGGAAGAGAACGCCTTCTGGAGGAAAGGTTTGAGGAACGGGGTGGGGTGGTGGAGGAGCTGGTGTGTGAGGGTGACATTTTGTGGGTGTGTGTGTGAAGGTCAGTGTTTCAGGGGTCACTGTGTGGGGGTTCGGAGTGTGAGGGTGATATTTTGTGGGTGTGTGTGTGGAGGTCTGTGTTTCAGGGGTCACTGTGTGGGGGTTCAGAGTGTGAGGGTGATATTTTGTGGGTGTGTGTGTGGAGGTTGGTGTTTCAGGGGTCACTGTGTGGGGGGCTCAGAGTATGAGGGATATATTATATGGGTGTGTGTGAAGCTCAGTTGTTCTGAGGTCACCGTGTGGGTTTGTGCATGAAGGGTCAGTGTGTAGCAGGTCAGCATGTCAAGGGTGAGAGCCTGAGACCCTCACAATCCGGAGGGTCAGAGCGTGACAGTTTAAGGCTCAGCCTCCACCTGTGCTGGATCAGCTGGGGCTCTTTGTCTGTGTTGCAGAGATGGGGGCTCGGGTGGTGCAACATTCCAGGTTAGCCGCCAGGACCTCCTGGGCGCTCTGGGGCCTCCTGGCCCTGAGTGCCACCGTCTTACTGGCCATCATCATCGCCGTGTCTGTCAGCAGTGAGTACAGCAACACAAGCCTTCTGGCTCTGCAGCTCCTGCAGTCTATCCACATTTACCAGGATACAGTGTGCTGGGCGGGAGAACAGCTTGAGTCATGTGTAGGATCACAATTAGGGCAGGGTTCATGGTCAGTACTGGGGGGAGGGTTAGCATTAGGACTAGTGTGACTGTTAGGTTAAGAACCGAAGCAATGCAGGGATTCAGGAGTAAGTCTGGTTTAGGGTAGAGGTTGTGGAGTGGATTTGTGAAGCAGGGTTGCAGAGTTTAGTGGGTCGGAGCTTAGTGTTCGGAGCTATTTTTACAGAAATATGTAAGGCACTAAAAGTAAAACTCCACAACCTCAAAAATAGATCTTAGGCTCAGGTAAGGCATAACTACTTGGATAAAGATGATATCTTTCCATCTTAGAAATGGCATCTTTTCCTGCGGGATTTGTGTTTTGCAGATGCCAAAATGAGCAGGAGGATCATTGCTCTGGAGGGCAGCGTGGTCAACTTCAGCTCTTCTGTCAAGAAGCTGCAGGCTGGGAGAGCCACAGGTGCGCCAGCCTCCGTTATGAAGAGTGGGCGTGGCAGAGGTCCAGCCCTGAGCTGGCAATGGTTTGGCACTGAGCTTGCCCTGACCCAACTCTGGGTAGGAAGAAGGCAGCTGCAGGCTGGGAGAGCCACAGGTGCGCCAGCCTCCGTTATGAAGAGTGGGCGTGGCAGAGGTCCGGCCCTGAGCTGGCAATGGTTTGGCAGTGAGCTTGCCCTGACCCAACTCTGGGTAGGAAGAAGGCAGAACTTCAATTTAAGGACACATTGAGCAATCTGACATTGTGTATTGAGCTGTAATTGCAGGCACTATGTGCACAGGGGTCTTGAAAAAGAAAGAATTCAAATTAAATTTGCCGATAGTGCTGCAGTACAGTACATCCAGTGATGGTCCTGTAGTGTTCCTACACTGAGAGACAAACAGATACATAGCTGGATAACTACTGTAAGTAATAAGTATTTAATCTGTTATTAATCAACCAAATGTTGTGTATGTGCTCCTCCAGACCAGGAGATTCAAGGGGAGATCAATAAGCTGAAGGTGTCCACACTGACCACAGAATCCCAGCTGAGCCTTGGTATGTCTTGATCCACGATCCCGTGATAGTCGGCCATCAGGTCAAGATTAGGCTGAGACAGACTGTACATTGGAAGAGTTTGTGCTATATATTGATTTATTTCACACTGACAGGCACTAGTACTCTTGGTGCGTTACTCTGGCTCCTCTAGAGGGTCTCACAGACAGCCTGGATCCCTGGTCCTCATGATGGATCATCCTTGCTAGGCATCTTAAAACGCTGGCTAACCCCAGCACTAATTAAGATGGGTCAGCTTGATTAAGTAGGTGAGAGCTGGAACAACAGGGGGAGCAGGAGATCCTGAGCTCTGCAGGTCCAGGACGGGAGGGGTATACGTCAGGGCCGAGGTCTTCACAGCTGCGCTGTCGTTCCAGTGGGCAGAGCGGTGACGGCTGTGAACGAACTGGACACGCTGAAGTCGATGGTCTTCCAGGTGAACTGCATTCTGGATAAAATGAAGAAGAACAGTAAGTCACTAAGATGTGTAGAGCGTGAGGCTAAGGGCAGAGCCCTGCATGTTGGAGACGTGCTCCTCCGGTCTTGACATCAGAGCGCTCTTCACCACCTGAGCTATACATGTCTTCCCATTTCCTGAACACTGGCATCAGGCCCCGCATGGGGCACAAGGCTACTGCACACTGCGCTTGGACTGAATACTGCTCCACACATACACTATCACTGGCATGGCTGCTCCAGTTAACATGGCAGCCGTGTATTATCGTTTCCGTCATGCTCTTTAACTTATTAATTACCAAAGGGTGGCACAGTGGAGTGTCAGTTTACGCTCTGGGTCCTGGGCTCAATTCTAGCCCTCGATCTCTTCTGTGTGGAGCTTGCATGTTCTCCTTGACATCAGGGTAGTTCAGCCCCAAACCCTGTATTTGAATGGCAGGCTGCAACTTGCTGTGACTCCTGCCCAGAATAAGCGACTTTCTGATAATGGATGGGTTAATTACCCAATAATTTACCCAGAGATAGCCGGTTATCTTCACAAGCTGTCAGAGAGCAAAACACAGGCTGAGCCTTCACAGACATGCCCCCCAGTCTGCCCTAGGACGGGGGATACAGATTTCTCGGGTTTCACCCATGCTTTAAAGCTCGGCTCATTCAGTACATAAATGGGGTGTGAGTGTAAGAAAGGGGAAGAGCCAATTCGACTGTTCTGGCCTGTTTTGCAGTTGGTAGCTATTTCATCTGAGTAGGTCCTCCAGTTCTTTCTTGAACGAATGCAGGGTGTCGGCTTCTCCAGCATGGCTGGGCGGCTTCTTCAAGACCCCCACAGCCCTTTGAGCAAAATAAGTGCCCCCCGTTACTGTTCTCGGTTTGAATCGCACTTCGTAGTAGTTTCCACGTGTCCTTTAGTTTGTGCGTCACTGTTTATTCCGAAGGCCGGCAGGGAGACCCTGTCCTCGCCTTGGGGGGTTTTGAAATGCTTCAGACGCAACGCCTGTGTGACCCCAGACTCACCCTGACTTCACTGCGCCTGGCCGTGGCACCGAGCCGGGACCCGCGGGGCTCTGCCCTGACCACTGCCCCTCCCCTGCCGTTTTTCTGCAGTGACCACGGCAAGCTGCTGTCCAGACGGCTGGGTGTACTTCTCAGACAGCTGCTACTACATCTCCACCGAGGGCCTGTCCTGGGATGCGGCCAAGGATTACTGCTCCAGCAAGTCCTCCTCACTGGTCATCCTCAACAGCGAGCAGGAGTGGGTGAGTCACACAGAGCTCGCTGACCCCAGGTTGGAGGACATGCTCATACAGTATTAGAGGGGAGCTGCATTCCCAATTTCTCAGACCGGTTATTAAACCCTTAGTAACAAGAGAAATGAATTGATGGTATAGAAAAAATGTGCAAATGTCAAATTGAGCACAAAATTGTGAACTTTGTGATAGTACTGTATGGTCGCCGTGTTGTCACCAACACCCCACGAGTTCAGTCCAGTTCCCACGAACTGGAACGTGTGAAGCAGCCCTTCCTGCTCGCTAGTCCCTGTCATGACCGATGTGTCACGCTGTACAGTATGAGCAAATAAACACAGGTTGTGCAGCAGTTCGTTGCAAGTTAACAAGTAAGTTGTATTTGTTGGCAAAAATATCTCCCAAGCCGAGAGCAATATTTCTATTCGATTAAAAGAGATTTCACAAACCTGCTTGTTTACAATGTTAAAGGGCCGCAATAAGTCACAGAATCTGTTGTTGCCTCCTTCTGAATCACAGAATACGAATGTAAATTGGAGGTTTTACATGTTACTGTGTCCATTTTACTTTATTGCGGTTTGAAACGCACGGATCAATGCTGATTCTTACTAACCCCGAAATATAAAAATAGCATTGCAGTTCCCCTTTAGCTTTTTGCTAAGCTGTTGATCTTTATACTATTACAATACAATTTCCTTAGCTCAGTGTCCATATACCTCTGTGCCTGCCGGTGTCACTGGTATCATTCAGTGTGTGTCGCTGTGTCTCTGTCTATCAGGGTTTGTGATTGAGTCGTGCTATGATGGTGTTTTTTCTTATGGCATCCTTACGCCTCTCTCTGTTCCTCGTGGTGTCTCAGAGGTTTGTTGCTGGAAAAACCATGCCCAGATTTTACTGGATCGGTCTCACGGATGAGAGGACAGGCAAGTGGGAGTGGGTGGATGGGACACCCTATGTCCTGGACCGCAGGTGAGCACCCTCCCCCTGTTCGTTCACCTTCGCCCCCCTCTCGCTACGTTCAGTTCCTTACAGTGTAGCTCAGTGGGGAGGAGAAGCCCTCACACGCCACAAGAACCACAAGTAAAGTGGTCTGTAACCTCTGGAATGATGCTAGGGCTCTGCCCTGCGCTGCTCGCACACAGCTGAAGTTGGGTGGCCTCAAGACAGAGTCATGCTCCTCAGTGAGCCTGGTGACCCACGCAGGGCCCGCTGCTGGTGTTCAGGGAGAAGGATAATAATCATTAATAACAATTCATTACATTTACTGTATATAGCACTCTTCTGGACACTCAAAGCAGTAAATGGGATCCCCTCCACCACCAGTGTGCAGCCCCACCTGGATGATGCAACCATAATGCACCAGTATGCCCACCACACACACCAGCTCTCAGTGGGGAGAAAAACAGTGATGAAGCCAGTTCATAGATGGGGATTAGTAGGGGGCCATGATTGGTAAAGGCCAGGGGGACATTTGCCAGGACACTGGGGAAACACCCTGGGAGATTTAATGACCACAGAGAGTCAGGACTGTACTGTACTGGGGCATTAGGACCCACACAGACCACAGGGTGAGCGCCCCCTGCTGGCCCCACTAACACCTCTTCCAGCAGCAAGCTTAGTGTTTCCCAGGAGGTCTCCCATCCAGGTACTGCCCAGGCTCACACCTGCTGAGCTCCAGTGGGCTGCCAGCGGTGAGCTGCAGGGTGATAGAGCCGGTGGAGTGGCTGACCTCTCTGAATCTGAGGTGGTGAAGTGTGGTGGGGGAGTCGGTTCCCCCTCTGCTTCCTGCAACAGGAAACAGGCCAACCCGTCGGCATGGCGACGCCGCACACTCACTCCCCCCGGGCGCCGCGCTCTTCTCCTGTCCCCGCAGGAAGTGGAGGCCGGGCCAGCCCGACGACTGGACGGACCACGGCCTGGGCGGCGGCGAGGACTGCGCCCACCTGCACCGGGACGGGCTCCTGAACGACGACCACTGCTCGCGCTCCTACTACTTCGTCTGCGAGGCCCGCGCGGGGTAGCCGTCACCCTGGCGCCCCCCTTGGGTCAGGAGATAAAGGGGAACGCGCCAGAGCCCTCTGCCTGTCTGCTCTGACGACACGTCGTCGGAAGGCGGCGGCTGTGAATTTTGTGTGCCTGTGATGATAAACCATGTAAAAATAATAATAATAATAATATTTGATTAAGAGTTTCAACAAAACAGCTGGAGCTTCTCTTGAGGGTTTGAGGTTCCAGGGGTGGGGGTGGGGGGTTCAGCTCACACGTGGGGGCTCTACTCTACGGCTGTACCCCTCAGGAAGGTGTTTTGCCCAGCTGTGTAAATGGGTACCCCAAAGTGTGAGTCGAAAAAGGGGCAGTGTAACCTCTGTCGGTTGCGTTGGATGAAGGTGCCAGTCTCTCCCACTCTCTCACGCTGTCTGGAAAAGCGCTGTCAGTGTGTCCCGCACCGGAGGAGGCTGGGGTGTGCGTTTCCAGGGGCGAACACGTGCCGAGACGAAGATGGGAGATCTGCTGCCCACCTTTGCCCTGTGTGCCCATGGCTGGAGAGGTTCTGCTAATTCCAAAGTCGCCCGGTTCCCTCTCCCCTCATGGCCAGGTTCAGATAATCAGGAAATAAAGAGGGCTGGACGTCCGAGGACAAGACTGGCTCGGTTTTTTGCAACTTCCAACACAGACTCTTCTGAGTGTGCATGGGTACTCTGTCATAACCATTTGGAAACAATTATTTGTGTGTTCTTTAAAGGTTTTTCTTTGGTGAAGGACACAGCCAGTTTTAATTAACTTGATATCTTTGCTAAAGATTTATGTTCAACTCACTCAACGCGCTGTAAAACATTAACAGCGCACAAACAGGACAGGAGAAACTAGTTCTTAACATAATTTCACGGACCTACAGTATGAAAACCCTTAACTATAGTAACGCATACAGAAAATACTATTGAGCGCACAGAAATTAAACATACAAGTGGAAATCTGTGATAAACAAGCCATAATAGCTCTTTGGTAAATGCCTGATAAGGGGAATCAATGTGTCAGGAAACAGCTGTTCAAAAAATGGAAATGGTTAATATCAGGTGAGGATGCACGCAGCGGTCCAGGATCAAACTGGAAACTCCACGCTTGTTCAGGCTGTCGGTTTGTAAGAAGGGGCTTTTTGCCATCGTGCTGGCAGACGGCGAGTCGAGCACCGGCACGCGGGACGCGCAGCGCCAGTCTCGCGCACGCTGCCCCCGCCTCGGCCCGTCCGGCCCGGCTGCCGCTTTAAAAGGCGGGACGGAGGCGCAGCGCCGAGTCTCTCCCCCGAAACTGGAGCCCCGGGCGAGCAGCAGGGAAACCGTTTAAATCCCCCCCTCCCCTTTCGGCTCTCTCAGCGACAGCCCGAAATATGCAGCAGTAAACAAACAGAACGAGAAAGAGGACGACGACGACGGCGGCGGCGGCTCCAATCCTGCGGGTCTAATCTTGACGCGCCGTTTTTTTTTTCTCTCTCTTGTTGTTTCGAGCGACAACAACAAGAACAACAAGAACAACAAATCACCATCAAGTCGGTTCCCGAGCTCATTCATTTAGCTGTTGCTGGCTCTGCCGGCAGCCTGACCCTGACGAAACCAGATCTCGGCGTTACGCAACGCCAGTATCAGCTGACCGGCAAAGAAGAAGAAGAAGAACAAGAACAAAAAATAAACAGCGGAAAGCGGGAGAGGAGGGTGCTCCGTGTTGTGAACCCGCCCTGGTTTCTGTGAAGGTGGCCCACATCCTCGCTTCTGGTGACTGCTTTCAGGCGTTAAGGAAGAGAGGGGGAGAGGATCCCGGCAGCGGCAGGATGCTGAATTTAAATAACCCGGACAGCAACGCCCTGCAGGACCCCGTGTCTCTGAACGTGGGCGGCGAGGTCTACACCACCACGCTGGACACGCTGACCCGCTGCCAGGACTCCATGCTGGGCGCCATGTTCAAGGGCCAGCTGCCCCTGCTCCGGGACCGGAGGGGCAACTTCTTCATCGACCGGGACGGCAAGGTCTTCCGCTACATCCTCAACTACCTGCGCTCCAGCAGCCTGGACCTGCCCGACGACTTCAAGGAGATGTCCCTGCTGAAGCGCGAGGCCGACTTCTACCAGATCCGGCCGCTGCTGGAGGAGATCGGGCGGCGGGAGGCGGGCGAGGGCGGGCCGGCCGGCCGCAGCGCCGTGCTGAGCGCCGACGTGGACAGCCAGCTGCGCATGCTGCACTTCAACCTCAAGCGGGCCCCCGAGAACTACGAGCTGTGCACCGTCGCCGTGCGGGTCCACACCGCCAACGTCTTCTGCACCTCCTGCGCCTTCGTCCAGCTCCTCTGCCGGCGCTTCTCCTACCTCCGCGCCCGCGAGGGCCCCCTGGCCCCCCAGCCCGACGAGGGCCGCCCCAACTACCTGCGGCTGGAGTGGACCCCCCGGCCCGAGCAGCTGCCCCCCGAGCAGTACGAGAAGCACCGCTTCCGCGAGCTGGCCGCCGCCGCCCCGCCCCCCCGCGGCAGCCTGCCCGTGCCCGACACCCGGGCCTTCATGGAGGAGGTGCTGAAGCTGGCGCTGGCCGAGGGCTTCCGGGTGGACTCGGTCTTCCCCGACCCCGCCGACATCCTCAACTGCAGGTCGCTGCGGTTCGTCAGGTACTGAGGAGCCGGCAGCTGGCGAAGAGTTTCCAGCCCTCTCGCGGCTCCCCCCAACCCCCCGAGCTGCGTTCTGCTGCGCTGGGGTTATTAACGACTAACACTGCGGAACTCACTGTGGGAAAACTCACCCTGTGGCTTTAACTGCGCGGAGGGAGTCGGGGAAAGACCGTGCTGCACTAAGGCGCGTACCCGTACGGACTCCGTCCCTCATCTGTAACGCGGTAACGTTTGAATGCAGAAGCAACGTTGGGTGACGGCATGGTTTTGATGCCCCTCTCTCTCTCGGTGAGGGGAGGGTGCTGGGGTGAGGGTGGGGTGGGGGCTTGTGTTGGCTCGTATGTGGGGCAGAACGAGGGCCTGTGACCTGGCTTTTTTGCCCCAGGCCTCAACGTTCCCCCATCAGCACGGCCGAAGGTGAGTCTTCTGTTCAGACTGTGAGTGTGACGACCTTACCTCCCAGTCTTAATGGCACTTTAGCTGCTCTAACTTACTTGAACTTTAATGCACAAGGTGCTCGCTCTTCTCGCGACCGACGGTAGAGTTTACGGGGAGCTTGTTGCAGCCCAAGCACTCCAGGTCAAGCTCGGCTTGCGGTGGCATGCCTTTGTCAAGGCAGACCAACCTTTAACGATTTCTGAGTGATTTTCGGGGGAAAGTGGAGGCGGATCTGGTGGGGGGTGCTGATGGCTGGAGGAATGGCACCCCCTGCTGGGGAGCAGGGGCTCCTGCATGTTTACATAGTTCTCAGCAAGTGCCTCTTGTCCAATGCGAAGTCTCTGCTCCAGCCTCTGACATGCTCTTCTGGAGAAGCCATGGGAGCTGACTTCGCCTCGCCGAGACCGGTTCTGTTCCAGGTACAAGAAAACCTGGAGTGGATTTTAAGTGCCGTGCCACAGGAGGCTGCCGGGTCCTCTCTGGAACAGGTGGAGTAACGTCATTTGCACCACAGGAAATCACACCTGTGCCTTTGTTCAGTCTTTTGACAACTCTGAGGTTTTTTTTTTGGGTTAAGAGGGTCAAAAACTTTGGTTTTCTTGAATGTTTACAACCGCACTCCATGCTGCTTATTAAACATATTCCTTCTAACATTAATAAATGCAATTTAAAGTGGGGCAGTAGTGATTACAGACTGGATTTTTTTTTCCGTAAGAAGCAACTCAGCCCGTGTGCAGGTCTTCTGTGCTGCGAGGAAGTGACTAAGCAGAACCCCGCGCACTGCGCCTGGTACCATTGTGAGATGCACACACAGGGCATTTCCAGGCAGCTGGCTGCTCCGCTCGGCTCTCGCTGCCTGAAAGGCTTGTTGTTATTCCGGCTGGGAGCAGCAGCGCTCAGCTCTTTGTCTTCTCTGGCAGTTTAACAGCCCTGCGTCAGAGTCACAAGACCCGGCTGTCGGATCAGTGCACAGCTCCAGTCCGGCAGGGCCACAGCCTCTGCAGCTTTTCATTTCCCCCTCTGCTCTTAATCGTTAGCTTAACTGGACCAAATTAACACATCAAAATCTCTTGATTTTAAAAGTGATCCTAAAAAAAATCTACTGGATTCTGGCCATCAAAGATCTGAGTTGTGCTCATATGGCTTGAAATGAGAGGAAAGCTGCAGTCTTTCTGTATTATTTTAATGAACTAATGACAGTATTTGGACAAAAAGCTGTCATGGTACATCTGTCAAGACACAGCTGCTCTGGTTAATTCAGATGGATTACTCCATTCGAGGGCGGCATGGTAGCACAGTGCCGAGGCCCTGGGTTCAATTCCTGGAGTGCTGTCTGTGTGGAGTTTGTATGTTTTCCCCGTGTTCACGTTGGTTCCTCCCTTGTGATTCTGCATTGGCTAAAGTGGCCAGGAACTGGCTGGCATGAAATCGCACATGAGGGCGAGGGGTTGGTGAGAATGGGCTCTGTGTGACAATCAGACCCAGACCGTGTCTGGATCAGCTGGAAGAGTTAGTGATGAGTGGCTGGGGAACTCTAGTGGTTGTTGATGAAGATCTAGTGCTCACTGCAGAAAGAGATGGCAGAATTGTTGTACTACATATTAATGTGAAGATGGAGAACTGTGTGTTAAGGATGAAGACAAGTTAAGGCGAACTGTGACTAGAAGAGACTGAGAGCTGGGCATTAAGAGTTAAGCATCAGTGTCTGCTTGATTTAAACCGACAGCTTTACCGAACCTTACAGATGGGTGACATGGCATTAAAAGTTGAATTCTCCCATGCCTGCAGATCTAAGACAGAATGCAGAGCAAAGCTGAAGAGCATGAACTGCTGGGCGTCCCAAAGTGAATAGAAACACTCCAGTGCCTGGTGATTAGGGAGGAAAGACAGTGGAGAGATGAAGACCTGTCCTGTCCAAGTATAGACTCAAGGAAAAGGAAGAGGGCCAAGCAGCTGTGAGCGACCCAATGGATGGACTGATCTAGGATCCTGGAGTAGTCTGAAAAAAAGGACAGACTACTTAAATGCGAACAAAAAAAGATGACACGCTGTCGCATAGTAATGTTGCGACTATGGTGACGTGTACCAGTGCCATCACATGTGCAATCATCAATCTTATTCTTAATTAGTTGCTGATTGCAAAATGCCTGTATGAGCTGTGAGTCTTGAACCCTTCTAGCACTGGAGCTGCCTCGCACGTATTTAGTGTCTTTATTGACTTGCATAATCTATTTAGACCAGTGCTGTCCCATCCATCTGCTCTGGAAAGCCAGTGTATGGGAAGGTTTTCACTGCAGCTGGGCTCCTAGCAGGCTCAATCAGCTGGCTACTGGCTTCACTGGTCCAATTTAACACCTTCTCCCAACTCTTGCAGGGCTGTAGATCTACAGAATACTAGTAAACCTGCAGACACACTGGCCCTCCAGGATCAGGACTGGCCAGCTCTTAAACTACATTTCACAGGCACGTGTATAGAGGTTTGGACCAAGTCTTGCTGTTGGAAATGGGCACAAGGCATATAGATAAGAGAAGAGTGATTTCTGTGACCCATGTGTGAAGGACACAGCCATGACACAAGTGCCACTCAAATCTCTGAGGGTATTTGAGGATGTAGAAAAACTCAAATATAAACCGCAAGGTTCACTGTATCATTTTTGGGATTTTTTAATTGATAGCCCCTATGCCATCCCTGCAAAAAACAAAAAACAACTTAAATTTTTAAATAATATGCATTATGCAACTGCATTTAAACTATTAATGAGTTAGAATGGAAAAAAGAGACATTTTAAAATATTTTTTGTAAAGTCAGTATCAAATATATTGTGCAAATAACATCTGGGAATAAGATTTATGAAAAGGCTTTTGAACACGAACACTTTCGGCAACAGTTGAAGGAACATCTTTAAATAATACTGCCGCTGCTGCTAAACAGCTCAAACTCTTCCACAGCTCAAACTCACAGAGCATAAACCCTCTTAACACGGGCTCAGAGCTCTTGGGGAGTGACAGCAGTGCATTGAAAGATTTCGGGCCCCTGTTACAGGCCCCTGTGCTGCAGCCATCACACCTACAAAGCAGGGTGGGGAGGGCAGTTAGATCAGACAGAAGCACTTCGTTGCAAATGGGTACAAATGTATCACTTTATAAGAGATCACTTTATTAGCCCTATAAAAATTCTTGCATTAGGAATTTGTCTTTTCCGCATATCCCAGGTTTCTCTCCATGAGACACACAGACAGGGAGAGAACCTCGGGGTCAGAGCACGGGGTCAGCCATTGTACAGCGCCCCTGGAGCAGTTGGGGGTTAAGGGCCTTGCTCAGGGGGCCCAACAGAGTAGGATTCCTCTGCTGGCCGTGTGATTTGAACCAGCAACCTTTCAGCCACAGGTGCAGATCCTTAGCCACAGTGCCACCGCTCTGCCCTGGCACCTAGAAGGCACCCTAGCCCTGGTGCTGTCAGAGTGCAGCACAAAGAAAGGGAGGAAGTTGTAATGGGGGGTGTCCCTCTGCTGAGAGAGAGAGACCCCTACTACAGCACCTCAGAGCGCAGCCCTCTGGAAGAACGACACCCTCACTGCACCACCACAGCCCCAGTGTGGGCTGGTTTCAGCACCACCAGGGAGGGACAGCTCCCACTCCCACCCTGAGCTTATCCCATTCCTGCACCTCAGGGCTCTGCAACGTCCAACAATATAAATACACAACATTCAAATAAATAAATACAATTAACTCATCTTAGCCTGTATTACATCAACACAATTTTGACCCACCTATAGTTTGAAATAAAAAACACCCTTTTTATAGTGTCAAGTTTGACAGGTGTTCAGTTCAAATGTCTTCCTTCACTCCTGGCCTGAGACAGGTCTGTACCAAAAACTGAAAAGCAGTAGGATCATAATTCAGTCTTTACTAAAAACTACTCCAGACTAAAAATGCAAATAAAGCCATGATGGTGTTGAAAGAAAATGTTCAGTGTGCACAGCCCTGGAGACCCCAGATTGAGTTCTAGATCACCATGATCGCTGGAGTAACCAGGAAGCCCCACGTCTTGCTGCTCGGCCTGATCTCAACAGAACCGAGCTGGGCTTCGTGAAACAAAACGGGTCACACTGTCGCATGGCATTTTGAACATCCGGAACATCAGCACGAGCCTCAGAGGTGCTGGCCAGCCGTCAGAAGGCCCAGGAGGCTCACAGGCTCGTGCTCAGTGGGAAGGCGCGGCTCAGCACCAGCTCCAGCCTATCACTACCCAGCTGGCACATGTCAATCACGAACACCATCCTCCGATTGGTCAGCCGGCCGGCTGTGGCCAACAGGTCACCTGCAGAGAGCATGGAAGAGAGAGGGCTGGACTGAGGTGGAATATTACTGGCCTACAGAGATATTTTAACAGTTGAATTATATTACCATTCTGTACCGTGCACTGTATTGTATGCACTTGCTGCACTCTACAACTTACAATTACCTGTGAAATCATGTTACTGTGTTATAGAAATGACTGCCCTGGACAAAGGCTTCTACTAATAAAAAAAAACAACAACAACCATAGGTTTTAAATTAGCCTGGGCAAAGAGCATACACTACTGCACCAACACACACACAGCTAGTCCCTGACCATGTTCCACATCAGGACTGGAAGGGTTGTAAAAACAGGTCATCTGAAGGCTGCCACGTTAAGGGGGAGCGTTGGTGGAATAAAGACCAGCAGATGCTGGGGTCACAAGGGGCAGGCTATGGGTTCACAGCAGGGGGAGGCCCCCAAAAAATCCTGAAACTAGTGGTACAGTTGTGGGCCTCTGCTGTAAAGAAAGGCTGTGCGACAGACCCGTGGAGCAGTACGACACGCTGCCATACTGAGCAGTAAAACACCAAGGGGTGAGGCCGGGCCAGTCGCTGGCGGCCACAGTCAGGGACTAGTGGCGTGACCTCCTGTAGGGAGACTCACGGGGAGCAGGGGGTGCCGAGGAGGGCGAGAAACCCCCGTGTGCCAGGACGGCCGGCCAGCTGTTGTCGTGGGATTCGGGCAGCGGGGGCCAGTGCCAGTTTCCGGGGGATGCTGGGATGAACACGGTCTGGAGGGCTACGGCCTTACCGAGGTCTAGAGAAGAAAGAGCAAGACGTGCACGTCACAGATTCATACCTCTTGCACTGCTGACACTGCGGTGTCTCCACTACAGGCTCAAACCTTCTTCTTCAGAAAAGCCTTTACTTAACTGGTTCCATTCTTCACCCCTCTGCTCTTCTTAGTACCACCTTCCATGGTCTCCTCTATCGTTATTGTTGTAATTATAATTGTGTCCTATCTTGTGAAATCTTCTTATTTATTGTTGTAGTCTTCATATTTATTGTTATTGTCATCCTGTAAAGCGCTTTGAGAAGCCACCTTTAAAGGCGCTATATAAAATAAAGTTTATTATTATTATTATACTGCAGGCCATAGCTTTTGGGACTGCAGTGTCTGTATGGCAGGCTGGACCTTTGGGCTACAGCACCTCTGCGACACACGCGTACCTGCGATAGTGAAGGTGTAGTGCCCTTCATAGCAGGCCGCGGTTGCGAAGGTGTGCAGTTTCTCGTCTGGCAGCGTCTGCTGGAGCCGCCCCGGCTGTAGCCCCACTGCCGCAGTCTGCACCTCCCGGCGCTCATAGCTGCACTTCAGCGGCAGCGTCTCCATGGCGATGCCAGACTGTCCGAGCCGACCCCCGGCCCAGGAGGACTCGGACCACTTCGGCCCGCTACTGGAGACAACTGTGGACGCGGTGCTGTAGGAGGCTGAGAAGCTGGCGTCTTCTTCGCCGTCGTGCAGGAACTCCATGGTGGCCTCCCAGAGAGTGCAACCTACCAAAGAGGAGATAAGATTGGTTTACACGTTCGTTTCAGTCTTTTCGCCCCAGGGCAGCTCCAGAAGAGACAGGTCAGATCTTGACCAGTTATTCCACCCTCTTGCTGCATGACAAGTCCAGGCCCTTGTGCCCAATATAGTGACAACATTGCTGCAGTACTACAGTTCCTACAGTCTGCAGCACAGGGTGAACTGAGCTAACAGGTGAGAGGCACGAACGAGAAAGGACACCTACCGCTGTCGGCCTCTGGGGCAGCCTGTTGGCCTCTCTGCAGAGGCGTCCTGGAGGGTCGGGCTGGCCTGCGGGACAGAACACAGGACACAAGGAATGTACACACGATGAGGATCAGATCTCATCCAACCTCAGCAGATCAAACTGAAGGACACCTCATAAAGGGAAGGGGTTTCTTTGGAAGGGTCAGATCAGTGTTAAAGGCTGAGCTGTGTTCAGCGTTGAACCTTGAACCGCTGTGATGTTTCCTAGGGCCTCGGGCTGCCCCACTGGCCTGCTGGCCTCTCTCCCCAAAGGAGAAGACGTTCGGAAATTCTGCACGGCCACCTTCCTAATTGGGTAACCAACAGGCTGGAGAGCTGCCTGCAACCCTTCCAGTTCCAGCGCAAACCCTCTGGAGGAAATTCCGAAGACACCCAGCACTAAAGCTCCACGAAGCCTTCCATCAGAAACATCACAGAAGCTCAGAAAAAAAGTGCTTCTAGTTTTCAGTAGACACTGGGAGGGTCATTACTTTCTTAGCTCGAACTCACATTTTTCACGGCAGCGAATGAGCACCAGGCAGGACTCGGACTGCCCGGTCCTGCCAACAGGAAGACGAACCTTTTTCTCTGTAGCTCCCAGTCGCTCCTCTTGTCCCCCAGCTGTCGTTTGAGTGATCCCCCGGCCGGGCAGCTGGCCACCAGGCTGCAAGAGCAAATCAGTCTCAGGACCGGTCCTTCACTGAGCAGTTCCCCCCGCTGCCCTGTCAACAAGCGCTACAGGGCAGGGCAACCTACTGTACAACGCGGGTGGTAATGCAGAATTACAGCTGCACTGAGAAGATAAAAATTCCTTTCATCGCGATTCCCTGCGGTGTGAACTGACGTACACCTTAAACTACAAGAAGACTGAGACGCAAGACGCAAGACGCAAAGCAGTAATACTCCAGTGGTGCTTTCATACTGACTTAAAATACATTTTGAGTTAGAATATAATAATAATAAACTTTATTTTATAAAGCGCCTTTAAAGGTGGCGTCTCAAAGCGCTTTACAGAATGACAACAACAATAAATAAAAAGAACACACAAGATAAAACACGATTGCAATACACAGAGGAGACCGTGGATGGTGGTACTAAGAAGAGCAGAGGGGTGAAGAATGGAACCAGTTAAGTAAAGGCTTTTCTAAAGAAGAAGGTTTTGAGTCTGGATTTGAAGGAGTTTAGAGAAGGTGACTCTCTGATATCCTTGGGGAGAGAGTTCCAGAGCTTGGGGGCATAGCAGGAGAAGGCGCTGTCACCCATACAATGTAGATGGGGGACAGTTAGGAGACCAGGATTAGAAGAGTGAAGGTTGCAATATCTTTATTGCGACTCCATCCACCAAGGCCAGAGCTCCCAGTTCGGGGTTGAACGAAACCAAGGGATCAGGTGTCCCGCAATGGGACAAGGGGATGGGTGTCCGACTGCTCGGACGCAGGTTGAGGCGTCACTAGGACGCTTCTCCGCGCAGACTCACCTGCTTCGAGGAAAGCGAGGCAGGATGGGGATCTCCGGGGAACGCTGAGCTGACCACAGGGCAGTCGGTGGGCTCCTGGGAGATGTCTGCACAAGGCAGGGGCTGGCGCACATAGCCTCAGCTGAGAGGGCGCTCTCCTCCTGAGGAGCACAACACAGCGCAGAGACACAGCCTGCTTAATGACCACAACACCCACCCTCCTATCAGCTAGAGCCTTCTGTCAATGGATTCCCAGGGCGCATGGGACAGAAAACAAACATACACAGTTACGTTAATTAGATTGTCCGGGCAGAGCTATACTGTTACAAAAAGAGGATTACGACACTAGAGAAATATCAGGAAATGATCGAGCTGACGGATCAATAATTAAAAATAAGCACGGCCCCCAACCTGCAAAGATTTTGCCAAGAATATCCCCTAACACCCCGAAAAACCCCAGACTGCTACCAAGTATTTGACTCTTACATAACACCTACACAGGCCAAGAGAAGAGATAAGCTGCCTTCTAAACTAAACAGAACACAACCTGCTGTTAAATCTCTCTTTACAATCCTGGATGCCACAACATGAACGAGAACCATTCTCCCTATTCTAAAAATGCAAGGCCGTTTTTAATCAAGGGATTCTTTACACAGGAAATCAAAGTTCCAAACAGCAGAATAACAACAGCAAGCTCTCTTAACGAGGTTCAAAAACCTCCTTGTTGTTCCAGATGATCTGAATAAGGAACCCTCGCCTTTGATATCTCCCTTTTCGTCTTCCTTTACCCTCTGTACTCCCTCTTTCTCTGGCGCCCTGTTTTATCCCCTATTCCTGGGCTGTTGCTTGACACTTAATCATCGACCCAGAACTTCATTAACTAAGGTAAACCAAGGTAGACATTTTACGATGGCTCTGAACACTGAATCTGGGACCACTTAATCCCAGCAAACAACCCGTTGCTAGGAAGCTGGAAATGTTGACACTAGCCAGGTGTCTCCATTGAACAGCCTTGTCTCGTTTCCGACGGTTCTCATGTTCGTAGAAGTGGGGCGTGAAAAGAAACCCGTTGGACAAGTGAGTGCTCAGCGCCAGGGTGTGGGGGGTGCATCTCGGTTTGCGTGCGTGTGGAAAATGCCCAAGCCAAGATGGGGAACCCCTCTGCGCCGAATGGCGCCTTCTTCTCAATCTCAGTGACGAGACCAACACGCTCGCGCCGTGCGGAGGCCCGTTTCGGTGAGGTGTACGTTACAAGCAGGCCGAGGTGTCAGCGGGAGGTCCCGACGGCAGCCGTGCGACCCCCCTCCCCCCCCCCGTGCCGGCCGTGTCTGCTCACCAGTGCCGCGGACGACCCGTGGACCCCGCTGTGCCCCACCGCCATCACCGTGCCCTGAAAGGCGAACCGCCGGCGCTCCCGGTACTGCAGTCTCTCGGCCTCTCGCCGCAGCTCGCTGGCGCTCAGCACGGGGGCGTCACCTGCGCACAGCAGACAGGTACAGCTCCTCTGGGCAGGCCTGAACTCACGCCATTAACCAGAAACCTCAGAAGGAAGGGGCCCCGGTTATGTAGGATGTGACCAGTGGCTTCCTCACGGCATGTCCGAAGGATTTCAATAACTTATCCATCCTTCTTCTAGTCCCTTTATCTTCCCGGTTATCCGGAATTAGTCTGAGCCTGTCCCGGCAAACAACCCACCCAGGACGGGACGCCAGATCATCACGAGACACATACCTACACTGGTCCCAGAAGCCAATGAAACTACCACCATGTCCCTGGACTGTGGGAGGAAACCGGAGCACCCAGGGGAAACCCACACGATCAGGCAAACTACACGCTGTCTGTGACTTAGTTCAAACTCAAATCTAGTGAGGGTCTTCTTCCAGAGCTTCTGAGGATACCTTCTTCAGAAGAAGGTTAGATGTTCAAGAGTGTGCAGCCGTTTTCCCAGCTATGCAATAATAATAATTGCTCACACTTATATAGTGTTTCTCTGGACACTCCACTCAGAGCGCTTTACAGGTAATGGGGACTCCTCTCCACCACCACCAATGTGCAGCCCCACCTGGTTGGTGCAATGGCCAAAGTGCCCCAGTATGCTCACCACACACCAGCAATCAGTGGGGAGGAGAGCAGAGTAATGAAGCCAATTCATAGGAGGCCATGATTTGTAAAAGCCAGGGTCAGATCTGACCAGAGCACAGGGGTAAAATCCCTACTCTTTTTCAATAAGTGCCATGGGATCCTTAATGACCATGGAGAGTCAGGAGTTCTGTCTCATCTGAAGGACAGCGCCTTTTTTACTGTATACTGGGGCATCAGGACCCACACAGACTGCAGGGTGAGCGCCCCCTACTGGTCCCTCTAACACCTCTTCCAGCAGCAACCTTAGCTTTCCATGTAGTGCCCTGGGTATCCAAGCAGCTTTCCTCAAGAAGGCATGACGGACAAGGACGTACCTTCTCCCTCCTTCAGGAACTGCTCCAGGGCAGCGGGGAGCTGGGGAAAGGTGAAGTATCCGCCCACGGCCGACTGGCTCAGAATGTCCTCATCCCTCAGCGTGTCCACCCACTGCAGAAACCTCTTGACCGCTGGGAGTTTCCTGTAGGGCCTGCCAGTGTGGTGCCCTGAAACACGAACGGTAACAAACCAGATGAAAGTTAACGCTGCGGAGCTGAAGAATGATTTCAATTGTCAAAACAGCTGCATTATTCAAGCCGAGTGGTTAGAATACGAGAATCCCCCCAGTGTGTTGTGTATATTGTATTATGCATTGCCTTGTAATTTGACCTGTCTGCACCCGGCGCTATGGGTATCCTGCCTACAATGTCTATGCCAGTGTCCTGTCTGTCCTGCTGTATTTGCACCGTGGACGAGGAGGAACGATATTTCGTTCCACTGTATACTTGTATAGGGCTGGGATGGCAAATAAACGTGAACTTGAACTTGAATTAATGGCAGCAGCAGGCTTGCAGAGACCTGCATGACCCCTGTTCTCTTCCCTCGAGGCTGCTGGAGCAGGTCCTCAGCTCAGCTCACCTGTGCCGTAGACTTGGGTAAACTTGGTGTTGGTGAGGTACAGCATGCTGGGGCCGGGGGCCGTCTGCACCACCCTGAGGTTAGTGCACACCAACAGCGACACTGGGGTGAGAGAGACACCGTTATGCTGCAGTAATGCGATCAGGAATGAAAGGCCACTCCAATAGGACAACACAGCAAATTCAGATTTGCTACCATTCACCTCAAGGTCATCTTTTATTATTTATAGCGATATGTGCAAACTTACATGCGTTTGGTCTCTATTGATTTCAACACTTGTAATCCAAAGTAATTGTTATATCAGCAGATTAATCTGAGGCTTTATCAAGCAGAGCAGAACCTAGAATTAGGAGTGTTTTCAGGCATGTAGGTGCAGGAGCGATCTGTATTTCTCCCTCAGCATCTGTGCTGACAGTCTGCGATCAGGTGTGTTCTTTTTGCAGCTCTTGTGTTTAACATTGTTACTCAGAAAAAGCGATCCGCTCTAGAACAGAAAGGAATTCTTTAATGCCACACAGCAGGAGCTAGTGGAATTTGTGTTTGACACTAGCACGAGAACACTGATGAGGCAGACATACAACACATACGATATTAAAAAGAAGAATACAAACTGAAATGAAAAGACAAGCAAAACACATACTCGTAATCACACGCAGAAGTAAATACTAACTTTACATTAGGCAACAGGATTGTAAGGAAGATGTTCACAAGAGGCTAAATAGCTGTAGAGGGAAAGTTCAAGGTTCATGTGGCAGTGGGAGAGAAGCTATGGTTGAAGAGGGTGGTAACATTTATTTTAAGCAAATAACACCTCCCTATTTTAAATGGAATATGACTTTTATGGATCTATGAGTTTCAGAAGAACAGGCTGCCTGATGTGAAGAGGGATGGGGCTCGATATAGCCAGACTGATGCCACACGCGAGCTGGACTGTGTGTGTTGGTACAGTTAGGCAGCTTTCTCCAGGGTGGCGACGGCTCCTTACTGGGGTAGATCAGGGCCTGGAGGTCGGGCTGTGAGGTGGCGAACAGCTGCACGGTGATGGGATGGTCCCCCGTCCCGTCCTCCAGCGTCAGCCAGCGGTACTGCAGGAATTCCCCCGTCCCGTGCCCTGTCACACAAGACATCACTTTGCACCACTGCTCACCACTGTGTGCCACTGCTCACTACTGTGCGTCACTGCATACCACTGGTGTCAACTGACCACAGCTGCCCCTCTTTCTCCTGGGGCGGGGTGGTACAGTTGCCATGCAGACTCCCTGGCATGCTCTCGCCTCTCTGTGGTTTGTGTGCCAAGATGACACATTATGGGTACATAACACATGTTCCAGACACCACCGACAAAAAGTCTTTTGCACTGGCCAGTCAGGCTCACCTTTGGCTCTTATGCGCTCTGGCCGCCCAACAAACGTCACCAGGCCGATGACGTCACACCTTTGGTCACCCTGACAGCCGGCCAGTTCGCTGCTGAAAGACAAACCAACCGGTCAGAGTTACTGGGAGCTGAGCCGTTGCTCCTGAGGCAGCTGGGGCTTGATTTCCAGGAGCTGAGGAGTCCAGGAAGGTGGAAACACTGGTGTTCCTCTCCAGCACAGGATGAGAGTGAGAGTGTGAGAGTCCACGAGTGTGTGTGAGTGGAAGAGAGAGTGAGTGAAAGAATGAGTGTAGGTTTGAGTGTGAAAATGTGAGAGTGGTAGAGACAGCGAGTGTGATTGTGTGAGAGTGTGAGAGTGAGTGGAAGAGAGTGAGTGGCAACACCGATTGTACCAATCGGTCATGCTAATAAAGCACCTTGAATTGAATTGAATTGTGTGCGAGAGTGAGTGAGTGTAAGAGACAGTAAGTGTGAGTGAGAATGTGAGTGAGAGAGTGAGTGAGTGTAAGAGACAGTGAGTGAGTGTGTGAGAATGCGAGAGAGGAAGAGAGTGGTAGAGACAGTGAGTGTGAGAGTGAGTGGCAACACTGATTGTACCCATCGGTCATGCTAATAATTGAAATTTAATTGAATTGTTTGAGAGTGAGTGAGTGGAAGAGACAGTGAGTGAGAGAGTGGTAGACAGTGAGTGAGAGAATGTGAGAGTGAGTGGAAGAGTGGAAGAGACAGTGAGTGGAAGAGACAGTGAGTGAGAGAGTGGAGGAGACAGTGAGAGTGAGAGCACCTGTTCAGGAAGTTAAAAGTCAGTGCAGGAAGCTTCCACCGGCGCTGCTGCTCTTCCTCCGGGATCACAGTGATGGCTGCCGCAGGGTTCCGGGAGTTCAGGCTGATTTCTGTTTCAAATACCAAGAACACCCCAGATCTTAACCAAAGGCAAAGGAGGGCTGTTTAGTCCTTGGCAAAATATATGTAAAACAATTTCCCCTCTCAGCCTAAGGCTTGAACAGACCGCGTTCTGCTGTGTCAGGATGGCTTTCTCACTGTGCCCGCTAAAGGAAAGCGAACCCGGTGCCCCTGACCGGGCCCTGAGCCGCGAGACCGCGCCGGCCTACCGATGCCCTGCTCCGCAGAGTTGCCCGTCCGGCTGGAGTAGCTCTCTTTGACCCGGTAGTTGCGGAGCCGCAGCACCAGGCCCGGCTCCAGGCTGCGGTACCAGTCCAGGCAGAGGGAGTTCCACAGCACGACGGCGGCCTGGGCCGTGGCGTCCGCGACCTCCAGCGTGGCCTGGGAAAGACAGGAGGGGGTAAGGCGCTGCAGGCCCACCAGAGGAACACATCTCATTTCCACAGGACGGACGACTGCCCCATGCACACAGCCTTCTGAGTGGAGACCGCCACACAGCCCGCCTGAAACAAGAATAATAATTGCTTACACTTATACAGCGCTTTGCTGGACTCTCCACTGAGAGCACTTTACAGGTAATGGGGACTCCCCTTCCCCCCCCCCATTTTGCGTCCCCCCTTGGTTGTTTTGCGGGCGGCCTTGGGGGCCCGTTCGGTTCCCCCCCCCCCGGTTTTCGTTGGGGGGGGGACCGGGTTGTTGAGGCCGTTTCGGGGGGGGGGTTTTTTGGGGGGCCTTGCTTGTTAAGGGCCGAGGGGAATTTTGGCCGGGCCCTTGGGTTACTTGGGTTCTTTTTTTGGGGAAAGGCCTTGGGTTTTTTAATGATCACAGGACCTCTGTTTCACATCTCATCTGAAGGACGGCGCCTTTTTTGCAGTATAATGTCCCAATCACTATACTGAGGCTTTAGGACCAACACAGACCAGAGGGTGAGCGCCCCCTACTGGCCCTACTAACACCTAATCCAGGAGCAACCTCAGCTTTCCCAGGAGGTCTCCCATCCAGGTACTGGCCAGGCTCACACCTGCTGAGCGTCAGTGGGCCATCAGTTGAGAGTTGCAGGGTGACATGGCTGCTGCAAAGCAAACTGACACAGTCCTGGTGTTAGAGGCTCAAGGGCTCCTCTACACAAGCCAGATGTTGGAGATTTCAGATGACTCGGGAAACTGGGACATCCAGCTCTGTGCAACAGCCATCACCCATGCGATCGCGCCTACGACTCTACGACTACTGGGCTATAAGGGAGAGAACTGACAGCAGCTGACTGGGCCCCGAAGGGGAGTGAACAAGCAAGCGATCCACGCGGCCCCGCTCACCTGGTACGGACACTCGCAGTTCTTGTCCGGCCGGCCGTAGTGGAAGAGGTGGGACTTCCTCAGCACACGCACGACGAGGGCGCCGGGCCTGGGTCGGGCCCCGCTGAAGAAGGCCCTGCGGAGCTTGGACAGAGCGACTGGCTGGAGGTCTGCAGCACACAGGGAGCCCAGAGAGGGGGACTGTTAAGGTGCACAGGCAACAGGCAAGAGGGGCGGCTCCGAACGGGCTTCGTGACCGAGCCGGGCTTTGCCTTAGGGAAAGAGAGAAAGTCACTCCCTGCTGATTAGGCACGTGTGCTGTGAGGGGATCGCTGCACAGCAGTGTCCAGCAGAGCTCTGATGTGGGAAGACAAGGCTAAACGCCCGAGGCCTTCACACAGACTCCGTACAGACCTAGCGTCTAGCCCAATTAGTTTCAAGTGAAAGAGCTTCAGCCAAAGCAAACTGGAATAGCAACAGTACTGTTCAAAGCCATGAGCAGCCAGGTTGCGCACAGTGCCGTTCAGAGCCACGAGCAGGCAGCAGGCAGGTTGCGCACAGTGCCGTTCAGAGCCACGAGCAGGCAGCAGGCAGAGACCCGAGTGGGCAGGTACTCAGGTGCTCGAATTCAACCCAGTTCCCTGGAGCTCCGAGACTGTGGTATTAAGAAGCACGCCACCAGCCGACTTCAATAAAGATTACCCACAGAAGCATCAGGAAGAAAACAAACGGCCTCACACCCACACACAACGTACTAAAGCGTTTTTAAATGAGCAGTAACGAAATCACACTGCTTCTGATAGAAGCTGTCAGCTGTCAGGAGTTTCAGAAGCGCTCACCTCGTGTCCAGCTTGGCGGGGGCGTGTCATCCGAGTCAGACGGAGGCGCCTTGCTCCACACTTCGCCCCGCAGACCCACGTTGTTCCACAGCGGCAGGTAGCAGCATCTTCTCGCCCTGAGGGGGGCGACGCGCGGCTGGCCATCTCCCTCCACGCCGTACCAGGGGATCGCGTCCACCTGCACGGCGCTGAACGCCGCCAGCCCAGCGGCGACCCCCGCCTCCCGGTGCACCTCCAGGCTCACGACGTGATAGCCCCGGCAGCCGCCCTCCTCGCCCGTCTCCGCGGCCGCCGGGGCGAACGTCACCCGGCGCAGCTGACAGCCGCTTCGCAGCTCGTTCCTCTCCGCCAGGCGGTTCAGGCTGGGGTGCAGGCTGGCGCGGATCTTGCAGTGCCCATCGCTCAGCGTGACGTCGTAGAGGCAGTCGGAGGCGCTGGTCGCCTGCGGGAAGTGAGCGGAGAACTCCAGGTCGCGCAGGTACCGGTCTATGGCCAGCAGATACAGCGGCCCGCCGCAGGTCTTCGTGCTGTCACTGGAGGAGAAGGCAGAACTCGGCCGGGAAAGAGCCCTGTGCAAGACGGAGCTCTGCCTCAGACCGTCCATCCTCCCCTTCCCGACTGTAAACAAATACTGTATTTTTAAGACGCCCACTTTTAGTTTTTGCCTTTCCGATGGATTAGCGCTCTCTGCAGGCTTGGAGGACCACAGGCTGTTTTAAAATTGGCCGTTCATGGGTGACTTTTATATTCTCAGGGAGTATTACAAAGTTAGCTCTCCTTAAACAACCAGAGTATGGATCTACCACTTACTCTTGATTTGACAGATTGTGGTCATTTGTATTATGACGTCATCTTCTTCGTCCTCACACATCTTTAAATAGTAATGTTTTGAACATCATATTAAATTCAATTTATTTTCATAGAGTGCCTTTCACAACACGTTTGCCCCAAGGCGCTTAACAAAGCAAGTGATCGTACATGTTGTGAATACAGAACAGAAAAGACCAGAAGACAACGGAGGAGAGGAACCACAAACCTCTAGGGGTCCAGGGTCAACTGGCTGCCCCATTGCTTTGGGCATGCTATACAATAAAAAAGGAAAAAATAATAAAGGTATTAATCCACCCATCATGTCTTCTGTATGTCAGTACTCCATGCAGAGCTCTGTAGACCAGCAAAATCCTCCTTAACGAGAGCTGTTTCCACGATGTCCCTCTTGGGTCCATGGCAGTGATGCAGCATCCGGCTGTGCCATCTGGACATGTGGGGAGGAGAATGGGATAGTCTGGTCAGAACAGATGTATCTACCTGGTGGGCCAACACAGAGACAGACGATGTCATGTACAGCAGCACCAGCAGCCATGGGTGCATCAGGTCATGATGTATATGAAACCACTGCACTGCCAGTCTCAATTGCACTGTGGGCTATACACGGTTTGTTTTAAAGGCGAGTTTAATCCGTGTCCTCTGTCTCCCTCTACTGGGAATTCTGGTAAACCACGTTGCCAAACGAGACAGGAGACAAAGTTGAAGAAAACCGCTTGAAATGGATTGCCCAGTCGATAAATGAATGTAGATCACGATCTGTGACTATTATCAATCAAGAAACCCCACCACAACTTCTCATTCTCTTTCAATTTACCTTGTTGTCACGGGCGACTGTGATCTTGGGACGTCAGCGTAATTACTTGCGTCTTTCGCAGTTCAATGCACTGGGCGCAAACGCTCATTGAAGCCTTGCTGTCACGGTGCGTGCAGTGCAGCTAGCGAGCCCCACTGTGAACATAATCAGAAAACAAACTGTCCTTCGGAAATAGGGGAGAAAAGCGTTTTGAGCTGAAAGTGAGCCTGGTCTGCGCGGAATGAAGTTCAGTTGTGGGTGGTGCTGAGGCTGCCTATGCAATGGGTATCAGGTGAGACAGGAGAGCATCGCGGCGCGCTAATTATAGGACTCTCGGAGCCGCAATTATCTAATCAGCAGATAAAATCGGGGGTAGGAACCCACCCGAAGTCCTGTTTAAACAAGAGAAGTGGAATTTGGACGTTTCCTGAAGTTATAGTCTTCTAGAGTCGCTAACCTTCGGATACACTTGCAAGATGGGTTTTGTGCAATGCTTGGTTTTCTTCTCCCTGGCCAGCGGCGCAGGAGCTATCGCGAGGACGGGCGCAGAAGAGCGGAGAGAGCTGGAACCCTACCCACGGCTGGAGACAGCCGCCAGCTCGCAGCCTGTAACCTCCAGGCCCGGCCATCGCAGACGGGAGACCGTGCAGAGGTTTCGGATGGTCCCCCGCGCGTTCCCAGGGGGGAGACTGGATTTTATCCGCCGGCACAACGGCACTGGCGTCAGACTCCCGTTTGACGGAGACGGGACTCCAGACGCACTCTCCCCCGGGAGCAGGAAGACGGACCTCGCTTCTCCCGACGAAGACGCTCAGTTTCTCGGCGTACGCAGACCTACCCCGGCCGTGTCTACGGCTCTGGGGGCTCCCAAAGGCCAAGGCCGTCGGGTCGCCGGTCCCGCCCCGGCCAAGGCGCCGTCCCAGGAGAGCCGCGGGTTGGGCTACCCGGTCACGCAGGGGTCCAAGCCCAACGGGACCGGCTCCGTGCGAGTCAAGTGCGGGGACAAGTACTTGCGAGTGGAGGTGGAGCGGGATTTCTGGGGCACGGGGACGCTGCTGGGGGACTCGGACCTCTCGCTGGGCAGCGGCTGCAGCAGTAACGGGAGGAAGAGAAAGCGCTCCAAGTTCATCACCTTCACCTACGAGCTGCACGCCTGTGGCACTCGGCGACAGGTAAGGCCAGCCCGCCGAGCACCACCTCGTAGCGTTTCTCCTTTGGCGTTTTTGTTTGGGGGGGGGCAGATCTTCGCTTCGGACGACCATTTGTAACGGGGGGAGAGCATATTTAAACCTGAGTCGGCAAAATAATGTACTTTTACTGGCCTATGAGACTGACTGAAAGCTGCGCTTCCCGTCTCATCTCATGGCGCTCTGTGCGGCAGATCACCGACGCGGAGCTGGTCTACTTCAACCGCCTGTACTACACCCCGCGGGTCGGGAGGCGGCGGAGCAGGACGCAGGTGGCCACGCTGCAGTGCCATTACGCGCGGTAGGGAGAAGCAACAACCCGCCGAAAAGCACACGAAGTACTCGAGACGCCCATTGCGCGGACGTCTCATTGCGGAGAGTTGCGCTCTGTTTTGGTACCCGGAGGCGGCAGCGTGGGGACAGCGGCTGGCGCTCTGGACCCGCGACCTCTGGGGTCCCTGGTTGGAATCCCAGACTGGGGCGCCGCTGTTGTACCTTTTGAGGAAGGCGCTTTCCTCGGGTTGCTCCAGTAAACACCGCGCACCGTCCTGGCGTTTGACTGCGTCTTCAGGCCTCATTGTCAAGCCATTTCAATGGGCGCACGAATAGGGGGAGGATTCATCGAATTTCAGCATCTAGTAGCCCTCCGTCCCAAATCCCGCTGTAAAGGCCGAATTCCGAATGTAATCAATATCTTCTCCGGGAAGCTTGTATGCGTTTCGGACCGGGCCTTGATCCCTGTCGTGAGAGGGGGAAGCGCTGTGAAGCCGGTAGGTTTGCCGAGTCGGGCTGCGGCGTCTGATGCGACTCGGCTCTCTCCTCCAGGACCAAGACGGTGTCCAGCCACGGCGTCAAGCCCACCTGGGCGCCCGTGTCCTCCAGGCGCTCCTCCAGCAGCCACTTCGCCTTCTCGTTCGGCGTGATGACCGGTAGGGTCGGACCCTTCCACCGCCGGTCGCCAGACCTGGACACGCGTGTGAACCTTCCCCGTACACAAACGCAGTTAAAGAGCGGGGCTGTTACTCGCTGGTCCCTTTCCCCGAGTGTAGTGGAGTCTTCCCCGTCTGACTGCAGCGCTCGCTGTGGCACTGTGCTGCACCCATGGACACCTCTGTATTAGGGAAACAGGGGCTGTTCATATCCTAGTTTCTCCCTATCTGTAACATATTCTGAATGAAGTCTTGTAAAATCCGGCCTTAATTACTACAACTGGGACTACTTTTTGACCTGGTTCTAATTACCATTTAACTATACACCACGATACAGGGGGCTCTGTCTTTTACATGTCTTTGATTGGATTACCTTGAAGAAAGGGAATAGGTACCTTTTTAATGTTAGATTGATGTTAGTTTTTCCCCGTTTGGCCAGATGATTGGAAACCTTCGTCCAAGACGGTCTACTTCCTCGGACAGACCATCAATCTCCAGGTGTCCGTGCGTCTGCAGGCCCGTCTGGGTTTCAAGGTGTACATCGATAGCTGCGTCGCAACCACTACCCAGAGTGTTGACTCCAAGCCCAGCTATTCTATTATTCAGGATTATGGGTGAGTGTGGGGCTGCCTGTTGGCTCTGTGGATTGCCTTGGATCCCCCTGACCAGTGCGGCACCAGGCCAGCAAGGTCCAGTTCTTCCCGGACCCATCCTCGGAGCTTCAGCAGGACCTCCTACCCAGAATGCCACTTTCTTTTTTTCCCCTCCCCAGGTGTCTTGTGGACAGTAGGCTCACCCACTCCACCTCGAAGTTCATGTCCCCTCGGAGCAACAGCACCCTGCAGTTCCAGATCAAAGCCTTCCAGTTTGAGAACAGCCTCTCGGACAAGGTAAGGCTGAATGGAAGCTTTCACACTTCAAGATATACAGTAGGGGTGCAGCGCGGCGCCGAAGGGAGAGTGTTGCTCAACGGGAGCTTCACAGAGCTGCGAACGGGATCTGGGCGACTACCTCCGCGTGAGGAATTCCGAACGCGTCTGCTGTTTTGTCCTAGACCCGTTCTCTGAACCTCTCGTCTACAGGCAGCCGCCCACATCCTGTGTAGTGAATAGTGGCTGCACGCTCTTGCTGTGAGAGGGGCTGGGGGCACAAGGGCAGTGCTGACCCCCCAGTTATGCGCGTTCTTTCCCAGATATTTATCCACTGCCGCGTTTGGGCTGTTGACGCCAAGGCCCCTCCCAGTGAGAAGAAAAAGAGCTGTCAGTACAACCAGGGAGACAAAAGGTGAGTTGATCCTTGGCCCAAACTTCACTTTGAGTTATGTCGGCGCAACCTGTATCTGTTCCTGGGTTTAATGATAATTGCTTACACTTTAATATAGCGCTTTTCTGGACACTCCACTCAAAACGCATTACAAGTAATGGGGACTCCCCTCCACCACCACCACCACCAGTGTGCAGCCCCACCTTTTAGGATTTAATTCAGTGTCCTTCCCTTTATGGGAGGATGTGTAGGCTTTAACTGGCAGCAGAGCAGTTTTCCAGCTCTATCCCATTCAAATGTTGGGGTGCTATAAAGCAACGTACATGTCCGCTTAAAGTAGTGTTCCATATCCAAGAATGCTCTGATCGGTTTGCCTCTGAGCACTGCTGGACGTGCACACGAGTGCTCAGCCCGGTCTTGCTTTCCTGTGCCCTTTGACCTCGCAGGTGGGAGGAGCTAGAGGGACAAGATGGCGTCTGTGGCTGCTGTGAACGGAGGTCGTGTGGGAGAGACCGCTGGAGTCGAAGCCCAGAGGATCACCCTGATGGTGAGCATCTTTCACATTCGTTCTGCCTCCTAACTGGTGTGATTTCTGTCCGTTTGGGTATATGTTTTCTGTTTAACCTTTGTATAGCGTAATGAATAGAACTGTTTTTTTTTTTTTTTATCCTGTTGAATGTAAGCTATGGTGATCATTTTCCCCCAATGTAAAAGGATTTTTGTGGAGAACTGAAGATGGGATTTGCCTCTCTACCATGAGGGACTTGCTGTCTCCACAGGGTCAGGATCATGGAACCCCAGTGGGGCTCTTGGTGATGTCACAGTGGGCCCGCTGCGCATCTTGGCTCCCAGATCAAACTCGTCTGTCAACAGTAGGGAGAGTCGCCCCTTGTGGCATGACGCCAATCTGACCGTGGCAGGTGAATGCGCATCTTTGTATGGTTTAATTAGGAGAATGAAGACTCGATTATAAAATCCCTCAAGGACTGAAAGGGGAAAAAGATCTGATTCTCTCAGATGTTCTGCTTTTGGATTTAAGATCAAGGTGGAGTAATCCTGTGGATCCTGTCGATGTAACATGAAGACCAAGCCCTGAACAGTTTTGTTCAGAGGTTCATTTGGAACAAAGGGGCTCTTTACCAGCAGGGTTGCTTGCATTTGAACCAGAGGGACACCAGTGTACTGGGGATGTGTATAAAGTGTAGGAAGATTTCAACTGCAGATGGGAGTTCACAGGAGGTTGATTCTGATGGGGATCAGGAAGGCATTGTCATGGGCTAAGAAACCTAAAGCAAATGGCAATTAATGACGGATTGAGGAACTTGAGGTCACTGCACTAATGGGAAATGCCCATGCATGGGGGTTATGGTGGACATAATGGACACAACCTTCAGATGACGGTGTTTATGTAGATGCGGTATAGAGGGGGTGGTGGGTTTGGGAACTAATATAATCCTGAAAGCTAGAGAATTGAAGGATGAGGGTACAGATATAGACAGTATAGCACATAGGTTAAATTTGGAAATGTGAATTCTAAGGGCTTAACAAGTGATGCTGCAGGCCACTTAATGCAGACATTGGGACAAGCAAGTTCCTGTATGATGAGACCGGGGAGGTGATGCTAATGGGGGACGTTGCATTCCCATGCTTTCAGGTGACTCGGGGATGCAGCTGGCCCAGCTGTTGATCGCCTCTGCCTCTGCGGTGTGTGGCTTCTCTCTCCTGATGGGCCTCTTCTGCCTCTGCCGCCTTGGCTGTTGCATTCCCAGGCATCCCTCCCTGGATTCCTGCAGGAATACCCACAGCCCATGACCCGGTCTGCCCGGGTGTGGGCAGATTCACCCGTTTCCTTTGAACGGCAAATAAGTGATTATCACTCTGTACAGTTAGATGGTTAATAAAGCCATTTTTATGGACGGTTTGTGTCGGATCATCATTTATTATGAAAACTGATTGAAAGCTGCAGGAAGATCTGCATCTGCCTTAGATGGTCACATTAGCCTGTTGGTATTAAATAGTCTGGAGTGTATAAATGGGCTCCTTGTTTTATTGCCTCGGATCAGGCGCAGATCCTGGTCTGGGTATGCAGACTTCCTGGCTGGCTTTAACGGGCTCACAGTGTGGTACTCGGACCAGTTTATCCGTTTCTCCCAGTTCTCCATGCACCTGAGTGGGGTGGATTGGGGGCGGTTCCATCTCGTCTCCCCAATGACTTCTGTGAAATAATGGATCTTGGGCTGTCGCAGTGGTGGAAAGGTTTGCTTCACTGGTCTCTGTAGATGATAATGGTGCCATGTTGGGAGCCTCTGTATTCTGTTCTGCCTCTATGTAGCACCTGCCAGGGTGATGGGTCTGAGGTGAGTTGGAGCTTGGGGTGTCCCAGTGCACGTGGCTCAATCCTTGTAGTGCAGCCCCTCTATCGTGGGTGTCCTCTGGCCAGGAGCCCCCCAACATGGCAGAGCCCTCTCTAAGCAGCAGTGTGTTGGCTGTGCAGGAGGAGAGGAGTTACCCTTCCTGTAGCCTGTGTGCAGGTAGCTGCTGCTGCTGTTGCTGACTGGTGAGACCGGGCTGCTGGGAGCCAGTGGTAGTGCAATCACTGTTAAAGGTAGTGTGTGAGGGTTTACATTCAAAATGGCACAGCAGTAGGCAGGATGTCCCCAGAGCCAGAATATCTCCCTACTGCTACTGACTACCTACTGAGGGAGACCAGCGACTTTGAGCCCACTGGAGCCAATGACCTGAGGGGCAGCATAGTGCTGACCTGCAAAACAACAATTGAACCGACGGGAGCTGCCTTATTTCAATCTGCAGGGCGCCCATTGCTTCTACAACGCTGGCAATGTATTCTGGGGGTGTTACCGCATTACTGTCCTGGACAGCCAGTGTGTGGGAGCAGCTTTTCAAACCAGCTCAGCGCTTTACAAGCGGGGTCGGATCTCTAATCGTTTAAATGATCCCATTTTTCAGCTTCTCCCGGCTCTTCGGGTGTCGTTGTTTCGGAGGGACGGCGGGAGGGAACGTGCGGACACCCCGGCCCCTTGGTAGCCGGACTGCACTTGGTTCTCGCACGGTCTCGGGTAGTTGAAAACGGTTTCCGCTTGAGTTTTAGCGGGGCCTAAGACGTAAAACAAATGGTAAAACACAGGGCGGGCGGCAGTAACGGGAAATGAATTGGTAGAGAAGGCATCAAACCGACTATCAGTGGGGTTAAATAACTCATGTTCCTGCCTCTTCATAACTGCGCTGCTTTTCCGAGGGCTTCGCACATAGGATGGATGTCAGCGCACACATATTCACTTTGTGTTCTTGGCAACGGGCTTGTAATAGCAGCAGACAGGGCGTTTTTTTCTTTTTTGTATCTATCCGCCCCTCTGCTACTGTACGTGGAAGGCGTGTTTATAGAGTCAGCTCGGATAACGGTGTATCTAACCGCGCCTCCTGGGACACGGGCAATTCATTCGCATCTGGAAACTCTCCGCGTGAAGGACCGGCATTTCTCCCGCAGAACCGAGCCCTGTATTGGAACCATGGAGCTGGACGGCTGTGGTTACGCGGCAAAGATCTTCTTTTACCTTCTGAACGTCATCTTGGCCGTGAGTAGCGCGCTCAGCAAAGCGATGGGTTTGAGATCGCGACGCGTGTTCAGAGCTCGGTGGCAACATGTGTCCTGTACACAATCCCAGCCTTTTCTCCCGCAGTTCTGACGAAGTGTAAAGGTTAAGCTGGCGCTTTGGGTAGCCTGTTTCAGGTTTCTGTGAGATGGGACTTTTCTCACGAAGTCGTTTTTATCGGGATTAGTGTGGCTCAGGGACTTTCCTGCTCCGCTGCTCGCACAAACACCTACAGATCCACAGATATACGGCTACAAAAAAGGGTTTAATGCTTTTCTATTGCACATCCGTACAATATTTTGTAAAATAAGCGATTCGTTTACGTTACACACTGAAAATCCATATTAAAAAAAACTAGTCTCTTTTTCATTGGAGTTTGTGCTTATTTTGGAAGGTGTCATCACGTCAACCAAATCTGAGGGGGAAAAAAATCTTCAACGTTAGAAGTTTGAAATCTAAGAGTGCCCCGACTGTTCAGTTTGGCTCCACTCTAAAGGCGGAATATCATTTTATTCGGAGTTAAAGTATTACGGTTGGTCAGCTTTTTCAAAGGAGCGATCTTTCTACACCTGCAGTTCAGGAGCCGGCTGTTTGTGAACGTTTTCTTGAGACTACAGCTGGGCCGCACTCTGTTCAAAACCCCACATCCCCCCCGAAACCAAACTGCGCGCCCCGGGTGGGTTTAAGTTTCGTTTCTTCTTCGGAACACAGGCGCACGGATGACGAGCGTTGACGTTCCTATGGGATGAATCAGGGGCGTTTGGATAACGATAAGGAGGGGAGGGATATGTGGGGCTCCGAGAATCTCTGATTACCTCAGAAACTCGAACCGAAATGAGAAGAGGAGTTTGTCCCTCAGACTCCCAGAGTACAAGACCGTTTTGTAAATAGTGACTAATTTTCCTATAATAGCAGCCTGAAGGTCTTCCTCAATTAATGGGGGAAAATTACGGCGCTATAATGTTCCTTGACACACACTTCATCGCCTTCATCAGAGTGACAGTTCACAGTAGTTCCTATGAGAACAGGGCTGCAGTTTCAGTCTGTGCGTCAAAGGGGATGCAGCTCCAGATGTGTTATACGGGGTGTTATACTGTATGTTTCAGAAAAGGTTTTGGGTGCCAAACCCGCGGTTTTTCAGTCACGTTACTTCCGATTCTGATTTTCAGCGTTTGAGAATAAATCGCCCCTCCCCCTTCGCGATTTCACAAACGATAAACCTGGGCAGTTTTTTTTTTATTCAAATCTATTCCGCAGCACAGCCGCTCCGTACCCGCACAGACCTGTCCCACTTCCGCTCTCGCTTTCTGATAGGTAGTGGTTGTGTAAAGGAGAGAGGGTAAAAACTGGCAAAAGAAAAAGTCAAATTGCTATTCTGTTCTTGCTGCAGGTGTTTGAAATGTCTTTGCAAAGCTATCAACTTAACTATTTTTTTAAAACGTGAGGTGATACTAATCTAAAGTGCTTGAATCCGTATCAATAAAGCACTGTAAGTAAAATTAAGACCTTTGAAGTCCTTTGGTGAATCAACGAATTGGATTGGAGTAGCACTTTCTTCCTCAGAGGGTCCCAGAGTGCGCCACATATATTAAAGGACCCATTTCATCCATCCATCAATCAATCAAGGTTTATTTATCAAATGCATGACAGTACAGCACACAGTTGTCGGCAGTGAAGTGCTTTTTCCGCAAGCTCGCAAGGAGAGAGAAGACAGACGTTGAGAGAATTAAGGTTACAGAGTAGAATACAATGAATGATACAATTTACAATTCGCAAGATTACCCAATGAATAACATAAGGAGATGTGGTAGGGATAGGAGGTATCAGGGAAAGAAAAAAAAACCTTAGGTGCACCTGATCAGTTTCAAGTGGACTGACTATTTATCAGTGGTCGGTTGGGTAATTGATCATCCTCTGCAGCGCAGCACCACCTGTGAGGTGAGACAGTCTCGTGCCCCAGCAGACCCACCGCAGGAGTGAGAAATGTCTGTACCCGCAGAGTTAAGGGGCAGAAGTTGGGAAGGCCAGCTTGTGCAAGCCAAGAGACGCCAGGTTCTAACACTGCTCGGCTGAAAAACCAGTGACCAAGGGGTCAGGAACTCAGTTTAATGTCTCAGTCAGTAGGAGGCAGTGTCCACTGAAGCCCACCTACTGGGCCATTGGTGGTCCTGCAGGTCCCGGTCCAGAGGGAACAGTGCCGGGATCCCACGTCCGATCCCTAACCGGTGCCCCTGTGGGCATCATCAATGGAAATCCAATACCTGCAGTGTGAGAAAAGAACACGCCAGCTCCCAGGGTGGGAAGTTTCTCCACTTTGAAGCCTTTCCCTCATAATTAGAATTTAAGCTGCGTTAAACCCAGCCGAAACAGGACTGCACTGTTGAATAATGGGGGTGTGGCGTCTCTCTAGGATAATGCTGGTTCCTCAGCTCACTCAGAGGGGGGCCCTGCTCGGGACAGGGGTTGCGGCCCACAGTTTGAGATCCAGTCCCTGCTCTCAGTGAAGGAACGGGGATGATCAGGGCTTTAGGAGGAGCCTGGGGGACCCCCATAGTGACACATTGCTTCCTCTCCCACACCTGCAGCTGGAGGGACTCTTGCTGATGGTCGGAGGCAGCTTGCTGGTCATTTTGGCCCAGTCCAGTCAGTTCTTCCAGATGACGGGACATTATGAGATCATCATGATTGGTGAGTTTCCTCTGTTTCTGAAAGACTGTTGTGTTTTCTCTTCCGTGCTGCGAATGCTGTTTGAAAGTAGTCGCGAGATTTGCGCGCACCCTGTGATGGATTCCCACACTCCCACCCCCTCGATCTCCGGCTCAAGCTTGGAACCCGCTTGCACAGAGACACCAAGAGCACCCCAGCAGCAGATGTGGGTACAGATTCACGGGGAGCCAACCGGAGGAACCAGCTGGCATTGCATGTCTGCTCCCGTGTCTGAGAGGCGAGAGTGAGCGCTCCACTGGTGATAACACAATCCTCCCGCTCTCCCGCCCTGCCTCCTCCCTTCCCACCATTCCAGTGGAAGGAGACACCTGTCACGCCCTTCTCAACCTGAGCTTAGTCTCGGCCCACATTCCTTCTCTACTGCCTGTCAAATAAGAAGATAAATATTTAGACTAATTCTAAACTTAATAAAGTGAGGGGTTCCTTAGTGGATTGTTGAACCCCTGTGGACACACAAAAAGAACTTGGAGAAAATCCAGGAATTGCTGCTCCTAGCTTTCAACGAGGTGTGATCAAATCCAGTGTTATGGGAAGCCATGTCAAGTTGTTCTGATGGTTCCAGTGTCTGTCCCTCTCTCCATCCTCCCAGGGCTGATCTTACTGATCATTATGGGATTGATCCTCATTGTGGCCATCATAATGGTCGACGTAGCAAAGTGCTCCAAGTCCATCGACATCTACAAAGCGGTGAGTGAGATGTTCTCAGTGGGGGAAATAAACAAAGAGGGACTCTTATGTGGCTGAAGTTTGTGTCTCATTCATGATCCATCTTCTTGTGAAGGTGATTCTTCAGCACAAAACTGGTGCCAAGCCAGCTGTGGCTGACTGACAGAGTAGTGCCTGTGTGAATAGACACCTGCTGGATGTCAGTGGTTAAATCTTTTAGCAGAGCTCAGATTCCCAGATCATGGTTCACTGGCTACTGTAGAGGTTCATTGGGTTTGGAGTGGGGAATTCGACATCAAAACATTGGTGTTCCAATGCAGGCACCAATTCAAGGAGCATTCATTTTGCTATAGCTGGGTTGGCATCCATGTTATGCCAAAACGTTTTCCCTCGTGTTTGATTTAAGGAAACTGGGATACGAATATCAGTGGGTCTGGAATCAAATATTTGTAAGACATGCAAGGCAAAGTTTTTGTTTTTGCTGTCCTGCGTGATTTACAAATAAATCTTTGTAGGATATCTTGGTTCTGATCAGTGTTTTGACTGTGGTCTTACGAAAAACCTGCTTGATCTTGAGGTCATTGTACTGTAAGAGGGGATTGTTTTCTAGTTGCTCTCCAGCAGGTGGCAGTAAGGCTGTTCTGTTTCAAGGCCGTGTCTTTGATGTTATTTGCCTGCGTGAGGGCTCAGCAGTGCAGCTGGGTTGCCTTGGCCACAAGATGGCGATGTCTACCTTTGCACACCCTCACCGAACCAGCTGCCAACAGCTGTGATCAAAGTCCTTTAGACTCCAACCTTTGTCTCACTATTTCTATACCAATAGAATATTCATGTTTGAGTTCTTGAAATGACTGTGGATATTGTGAAGGCCCTGGCAGATACATAGCTGGATGAAGGAGCTGCGTGGAAATATCTGTTTCACAACCCTCCTACCTTCATTTGCTCTCCATTGATTTAAAGGGGCTGCCAGCAGCACCTGTACTGCTTCATTCATGTAGAGGAGGCTCTTACCCTATTTGTTTGAATAAGGGCGTTCCAGGGGAGTCTCGACCTGTTGCTGTAAAGTGAAATCCTGTCGTGCTCTGAAGTCTCACTCCCTCCTCTTCTTTTTCACAGTACATCTCTATCATTAGCTGTGCCCTGGGTATGGCCATTGCTGTGGGAATCTCTGCTTATGTCAGTCGGCAGAAGGTAGGTTTGATCTGGCTATGGTTTTGTCTCACTGTGTGCCCCTGTCCTCTTGTATGGGGGGGGGGGGGGGTTGATGCATTAAACATGTTTGTACTTGCTCCATGGCTTGCTTGTGGCATTTCTTGGTTGTACCTTTACTACACTGGACCATGATGATACCACCAGAAATGTCTAGACTGTAGTCCAGTGCAGTAGAGTAATAGAAATCCCTTGACAATCTACAGTACAGCTATGGGGGAAAAATACTGTTCTGCTGTAAATTGTAACTAAAGGGTCCATATGTGTGGTCATGGCTCTGGAAATCTCCCAGCGCTGGAGGTCAGAGGTCTCTAAACAGATTTTTCTTGTCCTCTAGGTGGCTGCCCAGTTAAGTGACTTCTACACTTGTGTGTATGTTCAATATGTTGGGAATAAACACAACACGTTCCTCCGGTTGTCCCTGATGTTGGCTCAACGCATGGTACGTCCTATATAAAAACAGAACTGTCAAAATTATAATGCACTCCTGCCCCGCCACGCTGGCAGAGCAATAATAATAGTGTTATCCTGCCGGACTGGGGCTCTTTGGAGACTAGAGTCAGAGTGACGAGGAATAATATATTGTGAGGGATTGTATGCTTTAGTACCTGTCATTTCTTAGTTAGGTTTGGAGGCAGGCAAGTGACCACTGCTCCTCATGTAATTTACTGCCTCTGTCTAGCTGGACTGTTGTGGAGTTGGCGGGATTCTGGAGCCCTTTGTCCAAGAGACATGCCCAGGAAGAGATGGGTTCTGGAATGCAATCACAACGCCAGTAAGTTCAAGTGTTTCGAGTTATTTGTACAACCGTCTTGTTCTTCACTTGCTTACTTCTGCACATCCACATGGATCGTTCACGTACATCCATGTTTTGTTTTACAGACCTGTCCTAACACCTTGAGCAGCCTGGATGAAGCCATTGGCAAAATCTTCCTTGGATCCTTCATTGGAACTGCAGTGCTACTGGTGAGAACATCACAGAGCTAGTATGGTGGTGGTATGGGGCAGTGAAAAAGGAAGGAGCAATAGCTATTTACAGCCCTGTAGATTCTGGCATCTCCAATTTCCAGACAGACACTGAAAATTGCAGTCCTATCCCTTCCATTAGGAGTGGTAATCTACTGGTAGTATAGATCAGGAGGAGCTGTTACCTTTCCAGTCTTGTAAATAGGCAGTGGGAGCTTGTGGAGTACATCTAATGCTTATCAAGGGGTGCATAGTTAGATACTTAAATTGTATATACTTAAACATAGGTGCTGCATTTCAGTATCCTAATTGAAAATCAAGTTTCATTCACACTCAAATCTCATTTGGTTGTTTGCAGCACATTTTCTAGAATTGTTACAGTACTGACCACTGGTTTATTGATATTGTTACCACAGTGAAATATCCAATGCAACTGAGAGATTAACTACATGAAGTGTATTTCACAACATTTTTTAAAGGTAATTTCTTAGGAGTTGGGCTTAAATTATTCCTCTCTCTCAGGTCTTGCTCTGCTCTACCAGTTCTCTTCCTAACACGTTTCTCCTCTCTGTGATTGACAGGGTCTTGCCATCCTCTGCTGTTGTGTTTTCGTGAACTCTGTGAAGCTGGCAAGAGACAGGCTACAACAAAACAACTTGTTTCATCTGATCCCTCAAACATAAAATCCTTCCCACGGTACTCCCCTCTCACTCCTTTAAATAGAACCTAATTCCTTGTCTCAACCTGCGTAAGACTCTGATCCATATCTCTAATGACTGCAGATTTGGAAACCTTAAAGACCCTACACAACTCTCAGTTCCCCCCATATCCTGATGTTCTCTCTCCCTCTCCTGCTGCAGATCAGAGGCCCTTCATCTCTCCTGGAGGGTGTTCATGGTCTTGCATATTTTGTGGACCAAATTGCAGAAGGCTGGGCAAGATGTGACACAGCCTATCTTTCCTCCGCACATCAGGGCCAAGGCCTGTTGTTGGCTGCATGCTTTTTCATTTGAAACCAGGCTTAGACCTGCTGAGAGACTGTTCAGTTTTATTTGTTTTGTTCTGCTTTTAGAAAAACACCACTCTTGCACCCTTCCATCTTCAATTTCATTCTGGGAAGGAATGGGGTGGATACAGTACTTTGTGAATGTTTTGTAATATGCACAATTTATAAATATAGATTCGTTTTGATGAAATCTTGTGTCCTCTAGTCTCTTTTCCTACAATGGAAGCAAAATGGCTTGGACTTCAGTGCCTGAGCTGGATATCCTCCTCTTCATCTGAGCAACTGTGACATGGTTGCTTGAGTTTGTTCGTCAACCAGAGGAGCCCACATCTTGATGGCTACCATGTCTTCTCACCGCAAAATAACATTGAGGAGTTTGGAGCTGAGCAGCTTGGATAATTTCCCAAATCAAATGGTGAGAGTGATCGAGAATGGAGGGGAGGTGTGAATGATTGGCATCTTTAAAGAACTGATGGGTAAAAGATAAAATGTCTTCAAGATTAACACACCAATGTAGGCTGTGGATTACAGCTGGATAGGCATCATTGGCAGTAATAGAAGACTCTTCACCAGGCTATGTTGTTGATGCACAGTTTCTTGGATCATTTAAGACATTAAGTGGGCAGGAGGACGTTCTGGACTTCCTTCAGTAATAGGAATCAGACCTTCCTAATGAGGGAAAGTTTTATTTATTTGGGAGTTGTATAATATAAGAATCCTGCACTTTAGTGTGTGTGGACAAGTATACTGAAAGAGAAATAAGCTTTCTGTTATGATGCAGCTGGATACAGCTGCTCAGGTGGTGATTAGTCAGAACCCAAGTGCAAGAGACCGGAGAGTGTCCAAACACCCAAAGAGACCTGACTGATTGGGATTCAAGCGCTCCAGGATGGAGTGAAAGTGAAAGCCAACAGGAAACAAGAAAGGTGACAATAGATAATTTATTGCTGGCTGGTGGGGATTAATCAGCCCAGGCTGGTCAGTAATGGAAAAGAAAACAGAAAAAAATAAAACGGAGTTGGCCAGAGGAGCAAGGATTGTCCCAGCCGGTCAGCAAGAGAAGAAAACAAGTGAAGCGCGATGGTCTGGGAGATGCTGTCTCTGCATCTCTGGTGACCAACATGCCAGCTTCAAGTTAAGCTGCTCAACCCAGCCCGCGTGTCATGACCGTAAATCCCTCCTCTTAAGGGTGCTCCGGCTCTTTCCCGTTTTGCCTGATTATCCTGCACCTGACTCTTATCCAGCCCCTTCCTATAAAAGCCAGATGCTCCTACCATTCTGGGCTCAGTTTTGGAAGATGGACGCCCGGAAGCCCGCCTGCCAGCGGGTCCTGGAGTGGCTCGAAGGCATAGGCTTCGCAACGGCGTCCTGACCATCTGGGTCTGGGGCTTGGAGCGCCTGGCCCCGTTACCCCTTTTTATTTCACCGACCCTTCACCAGATCCCGCTCCGGTTTTTAACTTTTGTCTTGTCTGTCTTGGATGGAGTACCCGGCTCTGGACTTATGCTCCCACTCTGGATTTCCCTACGGACAGTGCACCGTCGACACGCCCCCCTGTTCTTCTACCAGCCCCGATCCTAGTCTCCTGCACTCCCTTCCGGATTCTGCTGTCTGCATAGGGTCCTGATAAACGCTTCCTGACACCGACGACCAGAATCCGGAACCCTCGGCGCCAGGCCAGACGGGAGCAGAGCTCTGCAGTGCAGAGTGATGTGAAATCCTGGACTGGAGACAGAGCAGACTGCTTGAGCTGCGTGAATCGAAGAGGCAAGGTGGTTGGTGAAGAACCCTAGTGAATCAGGAGCTGGGCATCCTCGCCTTCTGTGCCGAGCTCCCAGGAAGAAGGAGAACGCTGGGGAATCTCAGCCTTAGAGAGGAATCCCGGTGCCGATAACCAAGGAAAGGGGTGCAAACAGGCTTAGCATTCCAGGGAGAGATGACCACCCAGAAAAGCCGCTGAGACACCTGCCCCATGAACCAGAGATCAGGAAATGGCAGTGCAGACAGGAAGGGGTGAAAAGACTAATGACGAAGCGCCGTTGGAGAGGTGTCTCGGGATTAAAAAGAGAAGGAAATATTGAGTAATAAATTGGATAATTTAGACGGATCTGCCACAAGGAGGTCCGATCAGTGCAGCGAGCCCTGGAAAACCGTGAGCCCTCGTGAGAATGTGACAGTTTCCCAAGTCAAATGCTTGCCAAGAGATTCTACAAGAAACCAGTCATAACACTTTCTACATGAGTAAACTTGTCAAGATTGAATGTTTACTGTGTTTTAGCTTGGCAGTCAGTGTAGATAGATACATTATTGATCCCATGAGGGAAATTGCAGTGCAACAGCAGCTTAACACAGACAACACAGCCACAGTGTAACGAATGACACAATAATAATAATAGTACAATACATACAATACAATCAGTACAGTGAAGGTGCACTAAAAGAGTGACTCACAGTCCGGACACACAAAGAACAAACTAGAACAGAACAGTACGCAGAAAAATCATATCACACATATGAATATAAATATAGATATAGATATAAATATAAATGTATTGCACAGGTCCCTGGCATATATTGCACAAAAAACGGTTGTAAACGGGAAAAGAAAAGAAAGAGAACAGATGTAGCAGTAGATGTGTAGATGTGTTCAGTCCAGAAACAGGTCACTGTCAGTGTTGCCTCTGCCCAGACGCAAGGTGGATGCGTTGTACAGTCTAATGACAGAAGGCAAGAATGACCTCCTGTAGCGCTCCCTGTCGCACCGTGGATGAATCGGTCTATTGCTGAACGTGCTCTTCATTTCTGCAAGCCTGTCATAGAGGGGATGGGAGATGCTGTCCATGATGGCCTCTAGTTTGGACACCATTCTCCTCTCAGCCACTACCTCCAAGGGGTCCAGGTCAGACCCAATGACAGAGCTGGCTCTCCTGATGAGCTTGTGTACACAGTGTGAGTAAATTTCCTCTATAAACATATTTATTTCTATAAACATCCCTGGTGGTGCTGTAACCATCTTAATACACAGTAGTATATTATAAGTATAGAATATACAGTAGTATATTGTTAGTTGTTCTAACCTACCAGGTCGCTGAAAAGAACAACACAACAGGCGCAGGTCAAATGAATTTTTTATTTTTCTTTTCATTTACAAATATGGTATAACATTTCATGAAAGTTCTGCTCCCATCTCACCAGACAAGGTCCACTTTAGATGCCCTCCTACACAGATGGAATGTACCTCAGCAATGGGGAAACTGAACTCTGCCTGTCACAATGATTGTCAGCAGTAGTTTATTGTATTCTGCTCTACTGGACAAAAGTTCAGACTCGCCCTTCACACCTCCTATGCATCTTCAGAAATATTCACCCTGACAGCTCAAACGGAAAACAAGATACGAAAACAGGTTCCACAAGAATACGAAAGAATAGACATTTGAAAAACGAAATAGAGGAAAGGTTGCAATGGTTACATGAAAATACTGTTTCTCACAATGAGGACAGTCTCAGAAATGAAAATAACAGAAATTTGAGAACAAAACTCCCCCCATAAAGCATGCCTGTAAAATGGCAGACAGTGGACCTATACCTATGAGCCCAGGGCCTTATACAACCCAAGCAGAACCAAGAAACAGGGCAAGACCTTAGAGTTAGCACAACTGATCGATAACCTACAGTACCTAAAGACAAGATACCAGTGGTTAATACACAACTTCATCCCAAGGTACATTAAAATGGTATTGAAGCTACTGATCGGCCTGCATAACAAGCTTTTAGAACAGTGGTTTCCAACCCTGGTCCTGGTGCCCCACACACCTGCTGGTTTTCATTCCAGCCTACCTCCATTAGAACACTGAAGCCTCACTTGATCCAAGACGTTGCTTCAATTAAATATATGTATGTAGTTTCTAGTGCTATGGGATTTCATTTCACTTACAAAATACAGCAGTTAAACCTCCAACCTGTTTCAGAGTTGGGAACAAACAGTTACAATTAATCTAATTATTATTATTAAGTCAGTGAAGGGTTTGGTTGCGTAACCGAGGGCTCGGCTGGAACGAAATGCAATGGGAACCACTGGGTTAGACTGGTTGAATTTCACTTCCAAGTAAATTCTTTTATGTATTTTCGTGTACATTCTCGCGTTGTCCTGTTGAGTCTTTATTTATTTCAGCACTTAATCCTCAGGTGTTAGAGACAGCATGACTGGAATTTTGCAAATTCTACCCTGTCTCAGCTAGGAATTCACTCTACAGAGGTGGGTACAGAGGCATGCAGCAGGTGTGGCTCAGTGGAACATCGGCTGTAAAACTGCAAGATTGTAAAACATAAAGGGCGTTTTCTGCTTAGCCAGAGGCTGTGCAGTGCCAGGGTTGTGGCACAAGTTCCATTCTTTCTTATATTGTGAGAGTCAGGAGGACAAGTGATGACTAGTGATTAGTGTTTGATTATCCTGATTTAGAATCAGTGCACTAACTAACCCCGGTGAAAAAAACAAATTGCTCGGCACTTGCATTTGCGTCATACCATTTAAGCAAATTGACATGCAACTGCTGACATTCTTTTCTCTGAAACAATTAGTTTTCTTACTTTAGCTGATTCAATGGATTAAGCTTTTCTTTACTTCTGGATGTCGTGTGAATATTAAATGAACCACTACTCACTGCACCACTTCGGGTGCTTTTCCCCAAAATACTCATCTGCTGTCGGGAGCAGCAGGACTTTGTTTCCAAGCGCTATTATTCTGGAACAGTTCATGTACAGGAGAAGCTGCCTTTCTGGGTGTGTGCTGCTGAGTGCTGATGTGTCCCCAGTGTTTATTAAAGACACTTTAAGACGTCTGTCATTTAAAAAAAACAACATATAATTATCATAATTATGATGTCATTTTTTTATCATTCTGGGTCGATGGTGATTTTTTAAATTCGACACCTCTGCAGTTTGGTGCCTCGAGGAGCAAGTGAGCTGTTCGTCAGCACATCTCAAAGCGAGGTGTGTCTGCAGCTCTGTCAGCCTGATCTCTCTGTCCCACAAGGCCACAGCACTCTGCTCTGCTTGTTCAGACACGGTGGGCTGTACAGGACAAATGGATACGTGCCTGAATGCCGTTATGGTGCTGTTTTCAGCGTTATAAGCTAAGCTGCAGGTGTTTATATCTGTACAGCAGTTCCTTTTCTTCAACAGTGCTTCAGTTTCAGAAGTGAGGGGCTTTCTCTGCTGTAGCAGGGCAGACAGATGGAGATGGGGTTGAGTCGCCAGACAGCTGTGACGGCACATGGAGAGAAGTGCATTTCTCACAGTCTCCTAAAGGAAACCAATGAACTGGCTGCACCTGGGCCGGTCACCGTGGCCGGATCCCTGTATAGACAGAGTACGAAGAGTGCGTACTGAGCATCTTGGGAAGATATCTGTTTGGAGAGTGCTGTCGCCGGTGACATGCTCCGTCAGTATATACTGTAGACGAGGCTATGACTGGATATCGGCCTCGGTTGCTTTCTGTGTCGGGACGCTGTTAAAAAGAAGGAGGGGAATGAGTGTACCTGGCCAAACAGAATTGACGGGGTGAGGGAATCGCTGCCTCGGGTTTAAGATAGGATTTGGTTTGGAGTTTTCGCACGCTAGGCCCCCTGCCACATTTGCCACCTCAGTGGGGTCTTTCCCACCTGCCTGCAGACTTGGAGGTGATCTTCCCCACGGGAGGAGGTCAGAGCAGGCACTTTGGCTCGCTCTGACCTCGAGCCTCTACCCGAAGTGTTTTACCCGCGAGCAGATGACATCGCTCTTCATTATTTTCCACATGAGAAGCAGCTCTCCGGGGGTGAACCTATGGACCATCAGCAGGTCCCGATAGAAACAGGGGTTTTTGCTGAGCTCGTTCTTTTTGCCAGGCTCATGGATCCCCCAAGGCTTGATGCCACTGTGCTCCTTGGGGCTCACGTGGAGCACTCTGAGGCACATGCCCACGAAGGCATCGTCAATGGGCAGGAGGTCCACGCGCTCAGAGGCCAGGTGCAGCCTCACAGTCAGGGGCCCAGCCATGAGGTACCCCCCTCCACTGAGATACGGTGGGTAAAAGGTCTCATTGAACATCTCGGCGGGGACGAAGTATCTGTTATTCTTCTCTCTGACGGGCGGGGAGGTGTAGAGGAGTGTCCCCACAATAAGGTCCGGATTGCTGCCGTTTTTTTCCAGAAACTCGACGATGTTCTCCACGTTGACGAAGATGTCGTCATCGCCCTTGAAGACAAACGGCACGTTGGGGCAGTAGGTGGAGAACCACTTCAGGAAATTGACTTCCTTCAGGGTCAGGTTGTAGAAGGTGTCTTTAAAGTCCCACTGCAGGATGTCCCCAAAGAGCCTGTCTTCGTACTCCAGGAGTTTCTGGTGGTGGACGTGCTCTTCGCCCAGGGTGGCTGCCCCCACCAGGAAGACCAGCCTGACTTTCTTGCCATTCACCTTCTTCTGTTCACCCCAGGTCTTCCGGATGGCCTCTCTGCGTCTGTGCTGAGGGATCATGGACTTGATGACTAGAAGGAGGTAGACGTCCCCTTCACACTTCTCTGGGTGGTTAAAGATCATAGGGTAGTACCTGCAGTGTCGGTACAGCAGGAACTGCTGGGTGCGCTCGCCCACCTCGGCAAACCACGGCAAGGCAGCCAGGCTGGTGTTGGCCGAGCAGTGGGCATCTGTCACATCCCAGGCTCTGACCACCTTGTGTTCAGTGACCGACTCATTCCTGCCCCCGGTCCAGACGGAAATGTGTCCACGGACGTAGACGCGCTCGCCGGATATGTCCCGGGCTGTCTTTTCAGTGAAGGCACTTTGGAGGATGACCTTCTGCACCATGGCAAAGATTACCATAAAGATTGCCAGTAGAAGGACGTTGCAGAAAGTCTTCCCGCAGATCCTGCTGAGACGCCTAGAAAGTGAGAGAAGTGGGAGTTACGGCTGCTAGCATATGGCAGAGTAGCTTGCTAGATGGTGACTCAGGAGATTCAAGATGAATGCATTGAGAACAACGTGGAGAGGCAGTGAACAGCTTTAAGGGTTTACCACTAGCAGCTGTCAAGGCAACGGCAGCTAGATCCCATTTTCTCTCAGCAGGCAGCTGAAATTAAAGGGACATTCAAGCATGTGAAGACAGCCTTACGTTGCTAAAATGGGCCAAAGCAATCGGCCTGCAAATTGTGCCCAAGTCAAGAATATCCCTGCACTGTACTATCCTATTCATGGGTCTCAGTAATAACTGAACATTGTGCCTGTTGAGCACGCTAGAGGAGCTTAATGTTTCTGTTTTCAAAACGCAGTGTAATATTAAAATAACTAATAAGATGTTTTTGCCTCAATTCAGCTTTAAAATAGGAAACATTTTGAAATTGTGTGCATTGCATGGTAACTCTATAGGGATTGCAAATGATATTTATTTGTGTGTAATGATCTCTTAATGTGAATTATCTGGCAGTGATTATGTATTAACAGTGCACATATGCATGAGAAGACTCCAGACTTTCTTTAATAGCATACACTTAAACGTACTAAAGGGATAATGTATGAAAGGTTGCATGTGATACTGATTGTGAAATGCCAGGACACATCTTTGATAATATTATTTCTCTTATTCAATGATATATCTCAATAAACAAAACAATATATTTTTTAATGAATTTGATTCATAACATTGTGCATTATCTTTCTGTTGTAAAAAAAAAGGTATTTACTGCACTTTACTTTCAGTGAAGAAAAACACACCTGATTAAATACTGTATTCCAAAATGAGAAAAGATAAGATAAGCAATGATTGTACTATACATACAGTATAGCAATATAAGAACTTATACTGGACTCTAGATACAGTAGCTAGTTTTAGATAGGAGTAAAGAGTTATCACATTCTCAGTTATGAAGGAAGGACACAGTGAATATTTAATCTGGCTCAAGATATTCTCTGTTTGTATTTTAAAGGAACAAATACACACCCATGAGATAGCTCTTCTAATGATTATTTAAAATTAATTTAATAAGGAAACAGTTGTTTGCACATTGATAGTAAGAACTTGGCAGGTACCTCATGATTAATCCACCCTGTAGCTTCTCTATTTTACTTGTGTAAAGTTAAATAAAATTAAAACAAATACATATTTTAAAATATAAAAAGTATATTTAGGCAGAAATGACAAGAGGGTGTTGCATGCACCCATTTTGTTAGAAGATTAGAAGACCAAGTAACTTTCAGAATTAGAATAAAAACTGTGCAGTAATTTTGAAACACCATTAATCAGTGCTGACAAAATCAATAGACCAGAATAAAATGAAGGGATTGTTAGAGTTCTTCCGTTTGAAACAAAGAAGGATATGGCTTTTAACAGATTAGTTGCAGTATGAGATTCAGAGTACAGGGCTGCAACGGAGAAGGTTTTATGCTGAACTCTGGAAATGCATTTTAGTTGCTGAGAATAAGAGACAATAATTTTGTTTTATTTGTATATAGTGCCTGTCATGTGAAGGCAAAGCACTACAGAAGAGGTAGCAAATCATCAGCATATAGATAGTGAGAACATCTTAAGACACAAAAAAGAAAAACTGGTTTAAAGACCAGGATGTGGTTTTTGACAATGGATATTTTTCATTGGTGAAATTTAATATGTAGTCTCCATGTGATTTACAATTCTAGTTGTAGGAAACAGGCATATCTTTCTTTCTAAACCTATTTGTTCAGGATCGGACAACCATAACTCCAAGATCACTTTTTTTCAGAGTTTGGATACAAACTGATCTCAACTGTTGTTATTTAGAAAAGAGCAAATCCACACAAATGTAAAACTGTATTAGGCACTGAATAATCCATTATTCTTTTTATCAAAGAACATCTATTTCCATCTGAAAATGCAGACAGTATGTTCGTTGCTTTCCAATTCATCTCAGAGATTAAATCTTTTTCATACAGAGAGCAAACTCATGACCTGCGGATTATGCCTTATGTAAATCCTGCCTAATAAAAAAAGAACATCTATGTTTGGAAAAAGATCCAGGTTACTGGGTGTTTCAAGGTGAAACGAATAGAAATACCAGCTGTGGAAATACTCACATTTTCTGCCGAAGACGAAAACAGGTGAGTTGTTTAAGGCAAGGGTATGTCACGACACAGAAGCCAACAGCCAGATTCCAAGCTCCCTCACAGGTAAGACATTCCTATTGTGAGAATCTGCCCTACAGTCAGCAGACACCTGAAGAAAGTCCCTCCCTCTGTACGATATACTCCAGAAGGGGTAAGAGCATAAATCATCACCTCACATCACACATACAGGTGTACAAATACAGTACCTCCCTTCTACCTCCTTAACATGCAGGTAGCAAATTCAGAAACTATCCTCAAGAGACCTCGGCTAAACAGATGAAAATCTGAGCTCTGTGAAGTGCAGGTGTGTACAGAGCCATCAGAGCACATGCACCTGCAAAGACGGGACATTGGTCTTGACAAGTTTTCGATGCATGCAAATACAGGCACCTGGAGGATTAACGAAACATAGTCATGCAGGGATTTCCTGATCTTCGTTTTCCATGCCTGCCTCATTAACCCCCTTTGGCATATTCAAGAAACAAAAGAATTGCAAAAAGGGCCTGGAAATATTCCTGCTCAAACTTGTCATGAAGCAGAAACCATGGCAAGTCATCAAATTACTGTGTTTCAGAAACAGGACAGAATCACTCAATTAACAAATTCAAAGCACACAGAACAGGGGTAGAGAGCTGTATTTAGCAAAGGAACAAATGGCCGCTCTGCCTGTTCCCTGCTCCTGCCTCCAGCCCCTCCTCTCTCCCAGCTTTTGTTCTCCTTTCTCTATTGGGATGTTTTGACCTCACTCAGTTTGTTTGTACCCCTACACATAACAAAGGACACACCTTAGATCTAATTATTGCAAATGACTCCTTTGTCTCCCACTGCTCTCCCCTTTATCTAGGCCTCTTTGACCACTTAGCCATTCTTTTCAATCTGGAATTACCTGTTTCTAACACTCCCCCCCACTCTGTTAATGTCCGCAACTGGCAATCAATCGATCACCCAAGGCAAATTCTGTTCTGTCCACCTTATCCTGTTTCTCTTCCTCTCACCCTCTAGAGGACAAAATACAGTTACTTGACAGTGCTCTTTTATCTGCGCTTGACACCTTTGCTCCTTTAAAAACTCGCACCATCTCCTTCGCTTTCCCTGCCCCCTGGTACGACCATTTGCAAAATATGAAGGCAGCCTCTCGCAAACTTGAGCGTAGGTGGCGTCATTCTGGCCTAAATGTACATTATCAGGCTTGGAGAGATTACTTATCTGAATATAAGGTTACTATAGAATCTGCTAGATCCACCCACTTCTCTCACATCATTGAAAATCACCCAAACAACCCCAGACATATTTTCTCCACCATCAACAGACTGCTCAAGCCAAACTGCCCCACCACATTATCTGCCTCATCGCAACTTTGCAACACATTCTTAGATTTCTTTAGTTCTAAGATCGACAATATCCGGCATCACATTCTCTCCACTACGCATATCATTTGCATACCTCCTCCTTCCTCATCCAACTTTTCTGGTTCCCTTCTCTCCAGCTTCTCTCTTCTTGACTCAGCATCCCTCAATAAACTAGTTACACGCATGAAACCCACTTAAAATTTCCTTCATCTTAACTGCAATAAGACTGAAGTCATGCTTATTGGCACCCCCATCAACTTTGAAAAGCCAGTCCTGTAACCCTATCTGTAGATGGTTCTGTTCTTGAGCTTCAATCTAAATTAAAAAACCTTGGGGTTATATTTGATTCTGGCTTAACATTCGACCCACATGTGCGGCATATTGTTAAAACATATTTTTTTCACCTCAGAAATATCGCTAGACTACACCCTATGCTATCACTAACTGTGGCTGAAAAGCTGATCAACACATTTGTGTTCTCTCGAATTGACTACTGTAATGCTCTATTCTCTGGGATATCTAAATCCACATTGAACAAACTCCAGTATGTCCAAAGTTCAGCAGCCAGACTCCTGACCAGGTCTAGTGCAAGTGATCACATTACTCCTATCCTGGAGTCCTTGCACTGGCTTCCGGTCAAATTCCTTGTGGACTTTAAAATCCTCATGCTCACCTACAAGACTCTACATGGCCTGGCACCTCAGTACCTGTCTGATCTATTATTGCCCTACTCCCCACCTCGCAACCTTCGCTCATCTAATTCTGGTCTCCTTACTGTCCCCCAAGCCCGTTTACATTGTATGGGTGACAGGGCCTTCTCCTGTTATAACCCCAAGCTCTGGAACTCTCTCCTCAAGGATATCAGAGAGTCACCTGCTCTAAACTCTTTCAAATCCAGACTCGGAACCTTCTTCTTTAGAAGAGCCTTCACTGAACTGGTTCCATTCTTCACCCCTCTGCTTTTCCTAGTACCCCCATCCACGGTCTCCTCTGTGTATTGTAATTGTGTTTTATCTTGTGTAGTCTTCTTATTTATTGTTGTTGTCATTCTGTAAAGCGCTTTGAGAAGCCACCTTTAAAGGTGTTATATAAAATAAAGCTTATCTATTATTATTATTGTTCTCCTGGTACATTATCTTTGCTGACTGTCCTGTCTTTCTCACACCTGAAGAAGGCTCTGTAGCGGAGCTAGTGTGGTGATGTCAGTGCCCTCACTGCACGTAGCAGGGACCTCAGCTGCCTGAGGTCACCAACACCCTGTAGCGTTACACCGGAGACCCAGGTTCGTGCCCCAGGTGTGGGGGACGGAACGGGCGGCGGGGGGCACGACCCCGCGCGGAACCGTGACTATCACAGCTCCACGGCTGAAATTATGTGTTTTCTGTCTTCTCTTTTCAACTTGGAATAAATCTGTTACTTGTTCCTTTGCAACCTACACATGCTGACGCAGCTACCCACCTGAACTGTATTTAGCAAATATTTATCAAGCTTCCCGGCACATTTGAGGCTACCCATACTTAACAGTTTGTATGAAACAATTCTTTTCCACTCTGGATTGTATTAACACTTTCCCTCTATTCTTTGTGATCACATACCGTTCCACAGAATTGATATAATTTTTCCTGTTATCAAGTTGCAGAGTCCTATGTTTTAAGATGTTCATAATCAATTATTAGGTTTTCTGCTGCAAAACAATTGGACACACAGGGCCAAGTCACCCAGGTGAGAGCAGGTGTCTTGTCCGGCAAAACGTGGATTAAGCTTTATAGAAGTCTTTATCTACACAGCACGATGTTATCTAGTCATTGGAATGTGTAACAAAGAAAGCTTGAAGTCTGCACTTTCTTCGCTGAAATCATAGCTGTTACCCTTGTACTCTTTGTAAGCATAGTCACCAGCCCAGCAATTACTGCAGAATTAATGAGTCATGACATTGAATGTCAGAGATGTTGCCGGATATCATAAGGTAAAACATACAAATTGTTGGTTTACTGTAAAAAAAGTTTAATTGCGAAAGCACAAGGCAAGAGAGCATTATGGTGAATGTTTTCCTTGCATCTCCTGCTCTTGGACAACTTGAATAAATAGTAAGTATTGTTACTGGAAATGAATTCTGAATAATAGCTTCCCTTTGTGTCATGTCCTGCACACGCCCTCGCAGACTCCATTACATTCCCAAACCCACTGTTTCACAATCCCATTCCTGACTGAGCCCAGCACATTTCCACAGACTCTCACTCCTGAACAGTTATCCAACCACGGCCCTCTCCCTATTAAAGTATTTAAAGCACCAAACCATGCTCACTATTGAAAAGCATTATTTTCTTGTTGGATTTCCCGGTTTTTGGACTTTTGATCTCGTCTCTCAGATTCCGCCTTTCGGATTGTCTCGGCTCTTTCTGATAAACTGATCTCCAGCTTCTCCTATCCACCTTGCTTCTGGATGATGATTTTGGATTGTTTGCCTCTGCATCCCCCAGAATTCACGGCTACGCACAGGATCCTCAAAGAACTACCTGCCAGATCCCTGACACTTTGGATACTTTTTTACTTTATCCCTATACAGTTGTATAGCCCTCTACAATTTCTTGCATTAGGAATTAATCTTTTCACAGACCCCAGCTTGCTCTTTCCATGAGACAGGGAGGGAAGCTGGGGGTCAGACCGCAGGGTCAGCCATTGTACAGCACTGCTGGAGCAGTTGGGGTTAAGGGCCTTGCTCAGGGGCCCAACAGAGTAGGATTCCTCTGCCGGCCGCGGGATACAAACTGGCAACCTTCCAGCCACAGGCGCAGATCGTGAGCCACCCCAATTCCCCAAACCTAGCAGCATGTGTTGCTCCTGGCAGGCAGGATTTGAACTGGCAACCTTCCAGCTACAGGGGCAGATCCTTAGCAACCGAGCCACCGCAATGCCAGTTTACTCCCTAACGATTAAACTTCTTACAGAAAGTCACATGATTGTTACAGGACATGGAAAATACAGTAATACTGGGGAGCTGGTATTTGAACTTGAACTTGAACTTGAAGAGAGAGATGGGGCCTCATTTGGGAAAGCACAGCAACACTTAATTCTGTCTTATTAACAAGCATTGCCGCTACATATATAATGAAGTGAACTGAAATATACAACGAACTGAAACAGTGTTGTATAGAGGAATGGGCCAAAATACCTCCTAACCGCTTCACAGGTCTGATCAGCAGCTACAGAAAGCTTGAACTTGAACTTGAACTTTATTTCCATATGTAACCAGTACTGGCACAATGGAATTCTTATTTACAGAAAGTCTCTCGATTGTAAAACAAGTGTAAGAAACAAAACAAAGTGCAAACAGTGCATCAAGATATTATATAAACAGTATACAATGTACAAGTAAATATGTAGACAGTTTGAATGTAAACAATGACTGGAGATGTGCAATAGATAAGAAATTATAATGAGGTAGATGGTGATGGTGTAGGTGTGCCCGGGGTGGTGACTGTCCTCTATGATGGCCAGAATTCTACCATGGCAGCGGTCCTCATAGAGCTGTTTAATCTCGGTGAGACCGCAGCCAATGATCTTCTGGGCCATATTGCCCATTCTCTGCAGTGTCTTTCTTTCTCGCGAAGAGGTGTTGCCATACCACACGGTGATCCTGTTGGTGAGGACGCTCTCGATGGTGCAGCGGTAGAAGTTCACCAACACATGTATTGGCATCCCCCATCGCTTGAGGCACCTCAAGAAATAAAGGCGCTGCTGAGCCTTCTTCATGATAGATTCAGTGTTCACAGTCCAGGTTAGATCGTTAGAGATGTGAATTCCCAAAAACCTAAAGCTGATGACTGTTTCCACTTCCGTTCCATCAATACTGAGTGGGCTGTGAGTGTGTGGCCTGTGTCTCCAAAAGTCCACTATTAGCTCTTTCGTTTTCTTTACGTTCAAGTCCAGTTATTGCTATGACACCACCTAAGCAGCTATACGACTTCATCCCTGTAAGTGGACTCGTCATCA